TCGCAACGTAGCAGTATGCGATGTTAACAGAGCTTCCAAGTAGATCATTATTGGCCTTACCGCCATTCTTTCTAACACATTGTCTGGGAGAAGGCGAAGAAGTAGCAGGTCGTTTGGTCGACCAGACGCCTAATGACTATCCAGTAGTGTTAATCCTGCAAGTAGGAATTGCGCTTGTGATATCTGCAGCATATCATGCCTCTTAGAAGTAGTAATTCATCTGAGAATCTGCTAGGCGCAACTTGTGCCCAACGACTACCGCTAAAGCACACTTCATTCGAGGAGATTTCTGTATTTAATAGCCTGGGCCCCTATTCCCATCTTCAAAGGAATACTGACCAAAAATATGATTCAGAAAAAACAGGTACTTCCAATAAAGGACGTGATGGACGAAGCCAGTGGACTTGAGGTTCTCGTGAGGTCGATCACGTTTCCAGTGCCAATAAGCCCTAGCATCATAGAAGACTAACTACTAAATATGGCCTCTGCGAACCTAAAAGTAGAATATTCCCCTAGCCAAGTACAGTCAAATTTCGCAGTATCGACGTCGAGCCACGAGTCAATGATTCTAGATTCCCTACTACAAGAATTTTGCATGCTAAACGAGATTCATTCCGAACAAGGCCTCATCAAATCTAACAGTACGAACTAGTAGATCATTTCAATGATCACGCCTCTCGTTCGCTCAGTTTTTGACCTTCAAATTCACGCCGATAACAATACCTGCATTCTCTTGAGGTCACAACTAGCATCGCACAACCGTGAGAAGTGAATAGGATTTGTCACGCCGAGGACGAATAAATACCTGGAGAGTGTGATATTGCGATGTTTAGGGAAGGTATCGGGACATTGTGCGCTCCATGAACTGGTTTCTAATTGTGACGGGGACAATACACAAACGATCAAGGTTTAATGTTGCCCCAGTTCATCATCCGGTTAGGTCTATCGAGTAGAATCAGAACATTTCAGACATGAATTTTAATGGAGTCGAGAGCTTTCTGGTTCTCATTCATCGGGTATCAATAAAATTTCTCGCAGTGTGCGCGTTCTTGAAAAGTCAACGTGTTTGAATCTCCTCGTTGGTGAATAGTTAAGAACAAGGGCAGGATGCGGTGTAGACAAACGCAACCCCTATTAGTATCTGCGAATGAATCTGTGAGTAGGATTGTGTGCTTTATTGAGCTGCTTGACTCATAGACTAGCTAGCACGCTGGGCTCCTCCCTGACTCGGGCCATACCGTGGTCCTATCCTCTTTTGTTACCTGAAAGATAATTGATATGTTGCCTGTGGTGAATAACCATTCAGCTCATTATTTACCCGCGGAGTTCAACCAGCTTTTCCACGAAACTTTCTGAACTAAAATTGGCAGCAATGCAAACTGCGTGCGTGATAATAATTCCCCAGAGAACCCGTAGCCCTAACCAGACGAGTTAAAAATATTTTTCTAAATCTCCCTCTTTTTTGTGATAATTGAAGTACACTTGATCCGATCCACCATCACCGATTCAGCTGCTGGGTATGCTTTTGAAATTCATCAGATGGCTTCTCCATGATCAAGGGTGGGTTTGAGCAGAGATGCTATCCTACTATCTGATCTGGTCTTGAATAGCTTCTTTTTTTGACTCATATTGTATTCAGCTATGTAGCTTGATTAGCTTCATGCCAATGCTGCTAGGGGGTTGTGTTGAGAGATGAAAATAATACAGACCGCAAGAACGATTGGGATTCTCAACGAAGTGAGAGCGGTTTCACTCAATTACGGCTCTGGAGGCTCTACACTGAGAGCTGGAGACTCGCCCTCCATCGAGCACGAGCATTACACAGGTCAGAATAGTCATCTAATTATTGGATTATGTGACGTCAGTTAGAAAGTGCTTGGCGAGAGCTAGCTGCAGGCATATTACCTGACAATTTATAACTGTTATCAGGAAGTATACACTTCCGATCACTCTAAATATCATGGCTGGTATTCCGTCACCCATCTCAATCTATACCAGAGATCGAGATTTGTAAAAGTGAAGTGATATATACCATCTTCCTGGGTTTCAGATGAGACGGACTTGCTCAGTGATGATAACGCAAGGGAGCCCAGTATTATTTCAAATATTTTCTAAGTGTCCTAATTCGGCGCCCCGAGGGCACACATCGCTATCTTCTGAAGATTTGTTTCCATGCGGAATACGGATTGCTACGTCTGCAACGCTCGCTCTAAAACCATTGCAGATGCCAGTGTTGCCCTCACAGCTTGTATAATCTTGCGTGAGCACCCATCCCAGGGAAAAGCATTAAAAATATACGGTTATTCGGGGGTACTTTTTCTCTGATATTGCGTCATAGCTAGATTGTTGCATACGCAATTAGAAATCTGATGCCAAAAAAAAGAGACCTCAAGGCTTGGCAACATGGTCTCCACCCTCACTGACTAATTATTGCACGATGAGATGAAGTTGCTCAAAATTCAAACCACCATCTATGACTGCTAATAGCCAAGGGTTGAACATACAAGAAGCTTGTATAGACACAAAAACTTGGAGGGGAGATAGGCTTAACCTTGCGTGGTTGATGGTTCACACAGACAGAAAACCAATTGTATACTATCATTACACTCCTGATACCCAGCATCAACATCCAGCCCGTGAGAACAGGCTTAGGTCGAGTGCCAGTCGTGGCTTGCGTGAAGTAATCTGCGGCTGAGAAAACTGAGAGAGGTAGTCGCGCAGCATTAGGATACGCAGCTTTCCTTCTGACGAGTCTCGAGAATGGCGCAAGACGGAGATGAGATCGACCGGCCCCCCAAGATCGGTGTGGTAGGCTGGGTAGGGGTGACAGGGATATAAGACCGGCCACCTAGGAATTCCGGAGATTTGTGTCGCAGAGGTTCCTCGGCCAACTGCCAAAGGTATCGAAGCGGTTGCCGGGTTAAGTCGGAGCAGGAAATACGCACCGACAGGTCAGAGATACTTTTGTAAGCCTGAGGCTATCTTGACGCGGAACGTGTTAATCGTGCTCCGGTGGCTACTGCTGACTACTGGGGGTGGGGCAGAATACGCGCTTCCAGCCCCTCTTCTTTCTGCTTTGTCGCGCCCGACCACCGGCATCCGACAAGGTCCATTCCCTGCGCGAGCTCACACCAGTGCCTGCTTGAAGATGATTGGCACAAGACCGGCCTCCATGGCAGTGCAGCCTACGAAGAAGTCTAGCCTGCCGCAGCCCTCAAGCGAAAGTGGATTGGCAACGGCCGCAGGTAATCAGATGCATAGAAGCACAAATACCTGCATATCTAGTCTGAGCCCAGACAGACACATATGCTTCCGGGAAGCTCTTACAGATGCAGGAGTCCGACGACAGCTTGGGTAATAGTCAGCTTAGAGATGCGGAAATGGCCTAGGCAGTAGAGGGTTCGTTGAGATTCAGCCATCGCTGTAGATACCGTGAATTTCTTTACTGCGCCATGGGAAGGACAATTTACCGCCAGAGCCGCTTCCGGCGCTGGGCAACAATCATCTGCATTTCCTCAAAGCCCTTCAGATACGTCCCTTACGCTTTCCCCAATCACACATGGCTGCTAAGAGGAAGTTTCTCAAATCTCTAAGCCTCCCCCAATCTACCAGCCTCGTAGTTGTCCCAGTATTTTCATGCCCAAGAAACTTTATCGCATATTCACTTCATGTTATGGAGCAGGATAACCCTTTGCCCAGAAAAACTAAAGGCTTTGGCAATTCAGGTTTGGACAGTCAAAGGCCTCAGGTATCCAGGGCAGTATGCTTTGGCGTCCTATGTCCTACTTAGGATTTATATTAGATAGACGTAAAACAATAAACCAAACCAAATCTACCAGCCTCAACTACTTGGCCCCACGGGCCGAGCGATGTGCGATCGGTCCGTACGGTCGCGGGAGTCGTCCTCATTTCTCTCCAGTGTCATGTGATACACGGAATACAACTGTCTATTCTGGTTGTAGGATTTCAAAGAGCAAGATAAATTAGTTAGAGAAAATAGATACGATACAATATTACAGACTGACGTGTCCAAAAGATCCAGGGTTTTTGGTATTTAAATCATTAAACTCGCAGAGCAGGCAGTCTTTCATGTCGTTATCAGATGGGGCCCGGTCTTGCCCGGATGCTGCAACGAATCATTGCTCAAAAAATTTGATCCAGGAATGATGCTCGACTTACTCCTTCGTAGGGCCTTCAATGTCATCTTAAACTACATGTGCTCCGGTCTAGCGCAAATGGCAATGTGAGTCGGTGCTAACATGTCACCTTATTATCGACGGCCCAGATGCGCCCTCAACACTGTTCACAATATTATCTCAATACCACCATTCATTGAACTCTGCCTCTTCGGTACCAGCCATCTCAATGTACGAAGTGGAGGCTGGCTAAATTCACAGAAACGAAGAATAATTCACCGCTGGTAGCTATTTATGACCGATCTCGGTATTAATTGTGGGGCCATGACGAATCGGGTTGACAGAGGGATGAAGCTTCAATCAATATTGCTATGCCTTCGGTTTTGAGATAAATATAGCAGTGCAGTTACTAGCAAGGAATCACTTGTTGTTAACTTTTTAATAGGTATTTCAGTGTTCAAGCCTTTCTAGGGGATTTTGTTGATTGTCTTGTGTGGTTATTTGTGAGTAGTAAATTATATTCTATCTTCAAGAATCTAGTATTCTTCTATTCTGTGTGGCCGGCTTTCTGGTATACCATAATCATCCTGTGCACCTTCTTCTGCGTCATGTGTCCTCCGTGCCCCTCCCAACCTCAATCACCAGCCTGTTACTTCTCAAGATGTGGCAAGTTCCTTGAGCCGGTATAGTTTTGTAAACTATTCCTTTTCTCGTTTATCCGAGTGTTTTAATCCAGGGTACCCATAAATGTATTTCCGCAGTAAGAACAAACCGATTACTTATTAGTCCCCAGAAAAATCAGGACCCGTTCCTAAGTCAAAACTAATCCAAATATCAAAATGCAATTGAATCCCCGCGGCACTATCACTTTGTAGATGAGCTGTACTTTGTTACAGCCTTCGTTCCTTCTGAAACTGCATGTTTTGCGAGTTCACCGGGAAGAATTAATCGCACGCTGCTTGAATCAGTTAAAGGTTTTGTCAAGACAGAAAGACGAACGATGTTTGTATCTCTCTCGAAGATATGGTTGATTTTTTATTGTAAGCGGCGAGTTTAGATGCCTCAGTTGCGACCCTCTCGAAGATATCTATTTAGGTTAGAGCTACACAATTATTCAGTATTATGTACGTACCATTTACGAATGAGTTTAATATAGACATGGCTCTGTTAGATATTCCCGTATCCGGGTGTACTTGTTTGAGAACTATTCAAGTTAGCAAAATACTAAGTTTTGTGCTTGATCCACATAATGGTGCGAGGATGTGTACCTTTGTAGATGTACGATGAATAAGTTTCTTTCCTGGTTTTTGTTCGTTTCTTTTTGTCACCGGATGAAGCTGTCTTTTTACCGGCCTCCTTCGAGACAGGTGTCTTGGCTGGCGCCTTCGTGGCGGACGGTTTTTTTTCGGCTGATTTTGGAGGCATTTTATTTATTAGAGTCGGAGAATCGGATGTTATGAGATGGTAAAAAGGCAGTAATTCAAGAAGTGGTTAATGTGATGCCCTACATACGATGGGGTGGTGGATGTTTATGTAGTAACGCGGTGGCATCAGGATCACCGATAAATTAGGCGATGAAGCTAAACCCAAAATGTAACACATCACTCGCATCACTGATAGTCCATCTTCCGCCCATATAATCTCTCTGTCATTCCTCGAACATCCATCTACATCCGTCAACTTTCAATAACTTACAAACTCATTTTCCAACTCAAATTCTTCATATTATCATGTCAGGAGGAAAGTCTGGAGCTGGCGGAAAAGCCGGTGCAACTAAGAATGCGCAAACGTAAGCCAACAAGACAAATCTCCAGTATCTCAACCGTCAAAGTTTTAACCTTCTGACCTAAATCAGGAGGTCATCTAAAGCTGGTCTAGCCTTTCCAGTGGGACGTGTTCATCGCCTCTTGAGGAAAGGTAACTACGCGCAACGAGTCGGAGCTGGTAAGCCGCAAAAATCTAACTTACAAACAATCACTAATTTCCAAAGGTGCTCCCGTCTACTTAGCAGCAGTTCTAGAATATCTCGCTGCCGAAATTCTTGAATTGGCTGGTAATGCCGCCCGCGACAACAAGAAGACAAGAATAATACCACGTCATCTTCAGCTCGCTATTAGGAACGATGAAGAACTGAACAAGCTACTTGGACACGTAACAATTGCTCAAGGAGGTGTCTTACCTAATATTCACCAAAGTAAGTCCTTCAATATTATTAACCGATATCTCTAACAGTGTTCAGATCTTCTCCCCAAGAAGACCAAGCCAAATAAGCAAGCAAGTCAAGAATATTAAACCGTGATGGCTTTTCAGTAGTTTGTGTATCTCCTTCATGATGTTATGGTGTGGATGGGTAGGGTTGGGTATGGGGTTCAATTGAGTAAATCGACTGTAAATAAAATGCATGGGTACCAGGAATAGTTACACACCTCGAGTGTGAGTTGCCGCGTTTTATATCTAATAAGGGGATAGTTGAATAACAACTCTCCTGTATTTTGAACCATAAATCCCCTACAACTGAGTCACTATATCCACAAGGACGAGGGAATTTCATTTAGATAGTTTGACTTGCTCCAAACAATACGATCCGGTAACTATTAGGAATAATGTACGCTAATCCCTCTTGAAAATATTTTCCCCGTAATTTTACGACAACCAAGTGATATTAAATTACTCACATCAATTATGTTTCCACTAAACTAAAATCAACAATCACAATAGCAACACGGTTGGCACGGAAAATCACGTTAACTGCATGCAGCAGGCTGAGCAGAATCTGTCACATGACAGTACACGGCAGAAATGGTTATGTACTTCAACAGATGTCTAGGACGAGAAAAACGCCCATGGCACTTTGCAGAATGCCGAATAGCTTTACAGCGTTGGAGAAGTATTAAACGGGAACCTCCCCCGAGGGCGAGCGAGATGCTGGCAGAAGATGGATGGGAGAAATTCTTTGAATTCGTGACTATAATTAAATGTAATGGTGCACCAAATATACACCGGGAAGCCTAGGCACTTCCGGGGATCTTAAATGTTTTTCCTATGGCTAGCTGCTGGGAAAATTAGGACAAAGCGCAGGGCGGATTTGATCGGACCCCTTTTTTATTTCATTTTTATCATCTATCTATTTTTCTATATATTATCTGGCAATAAAAGCCCTTCATGTAGGTTGTAGTGAGTCCGCAAGGATCACACACCCGTATTACGCCCCGTGGGTGTAGGGCGCAAGCCTGATACGACTAGAATTCAAATAAAATTAAATTCAACAGATGTCTAAAAGGCGCATATGGTAATATTATCTATTTGAAGTTTGTATTTACATCTAAAAATAAAGGAGACAGAGATGGGTTTTGGCAAAATAGACATAGCATCGAGAATATGCAATACAAAAACATGAAATTATATTCTTCATGATTAAAGCTGAAAATACTGACAAAAATTAGCGTTGGATAAGTATGTGTGGTGTCCACATGGCCCAAAATATACTGTCTTTTAAATCGTCTTCTTGAACAAGGCTAGAAAGTTTTAATAGGCTTCATCCCATCATCTTGACTTGCTGTTTTGATGGAAGTCCAGCCTCTCATCGCGCCAGGGTGAAAGGGTGATTTATTGAAGGCTTAACGATTGACATGTTTCCATACCCAGAGACAGAACAGTGATTTTTCTATTTTTTGCGACAGTAGGTCGTGAGCATCACTTTACAATGTAAGGGGGGGCTTTGCAGGTCAGCAAGTGATCAATAATGTAATGACAAACCTACGATCGAGGATTGGTGCGGGCATGTTTCGCTCGTACTTAGAACCTGAAGGTCGTTAGATCGAGTCTCCTCTCTATAGAGCTCAAGGCTTACCTCCGGGGGCGGAGGGGGGAATGTATGGATCTGGGTGCTTCCAGGTCTCCAGTAGATCTTCTGTCTCTTGAAATAATGCCTAGACAAGTATTAATGACAAGTCTTGAGCCCCTGATAGGTTATCATTGCCTTCTGCCTTCTCGGGTCGTGAACATTTTTATTGGCTTCAAAAAGGGATCGGATATACATGGCTTGACCCCTCCATAGATGACGATGGACGGCCCAATCCAACGAGAGCTTCAAGGCCCGTCGATAGAGAGATCTATTGAATCGGTTAACATGTCGTTTATTCAGAGAAGCCTCGCATAAACTTACGATACAGTGTAGTTAGCCGACATCGTGGTCGGTGTGATGGAATACCGACTCCTGGAAAATTCAAGCAAATATGTTGATCGAACAACTTGGTATTTCTTTAAGGGATTTGAACTCCTCACGTGATATTATTACAAGTCAATGTGGAAAATGTCACAGAACCTGATATATGCCTGTCGGCTATGGCTCCTGGTCATTTAATCACTGTGCAAAGGTATCTTGAGCCCAGCTAGAAACTAGATTACTAATTGAAAGTCATCCGCTGGCTTTCATTCATATCATTCCATCCCGACAGACTACTCATTAAGCACGGCCCCTGTGGCACCCTGCCGCAATACAGGATGCCGGAGAATCATGCTTCCGGCCTCAAGAAAAATACACTAATTTTGCGGATCTCAGTTCTCTAGGGTAACTGAGTCCGGCTTGTCGAGCTCGGTAGCCAGCCCAGATGCTGATGATGTGATGTGATTACTGTACCACTTGAGTCATAGACCATCCAGCGAGTTGAGCTCCTCTCCGACCCACGCCACAGCTTGTACAGTGCTCCTATCCTTTTTTGTAACTTAAAAGATCACAGGTACATTGCCAGCCTAGATACGCTACTACCAAGGAAATATCTCTGCATAAATATAGCGCTTTTGGAACTGTTTATTATATATTGTGGCACATCTACTGATGCTATTGGGGATGGAATGAACCTCTCTTATTGAGCCTTGTGAGAATCGAATACAACCTTTCGCTACATGACAGAGGAAGTACAGAGGTGCATTCCAATAGTCGCAAAGTTACCTCAATTCTTGAGATTGGTAGCAAATAATATAATTTAAAATATAAGACTTGAATGGGAAATTTATTACCGAACTTGATGGATTGAATGCTTCTATAATTTAAGAGAGTATGAAATTGTAAATACAAGCGTGTCGTATCTAGATAACTAAATACAGTGTTAAATTAAATTTATTCACAATGAAAAAGGAGAACTGGCTATACCTGGAATATCGGCAACGCTTATGATATTCTTCAAAGGTCACCATAAATAATCTTAGAGCCTGAATACGACTCAAGACCTCCCAAGCAAGCTCCGATGAAACAAAGCTTTCTGGAGAATTGATTGTAAATGGCTTTATCATAAACCTCAGATGAGTAGTAAGAATGATTCGTGGATTATTACACGCGCTTGAGGTAGATAACTTTTGGAAAACAGCAGAACAAATTCCACGATAAGTATTATTACTAATTCATTTTATTGTCCTTTCTGAGTCTGTGACTTTGTAGAACATGCAGGTCCTCTCTGTCAACAGGCCAAGGATATCTCTACCAGTAGTATTTCCCCTCCTATGCCTCTCATACAGCTCCCCTCAAAAATTACCGCCCCTCACAAGTCCTCATTTCCTCATACACTTAAAGGAGCCCTTTGCCCTTCATCATCTCCCTTCTCCAGCCAACGAAACGATGGACATGTGCGGGTGTATGGCAGACGGGAAAAATCGCAAAAACCACCGGGTGCGGAGCTCTCCTAATACCGAAATTAGGACCAAATCTGAAAACATAGTGCCCCTTCTGAAGCGTTCGAAGAGGCCGGCCAGCTGGGCGCTGCAGACTTGAGGGCACCTCGGGAAATTCACACTCTACCTTTCTAGCCTCCTTCCAACTCCTTCCCGAAGGTCGTGGTGAAATGTCAGAAAAGTCTTGACAGAGCGTGATTGCTGTATGGTAGCTTAGTCAAACTTCTTTTGTGCCGTCCAGGGCGCTGGGGAGTGCCGTTGACTCATCGACAAGAGAAGCCCTCCTGGGGGACTATTCTCAACACCTGTCAGCGGTGTCCCCTACGAACCTCCAGCTCTCACTGTAGAGTCTGCAGAGCCGAGATTGAGTAACAAAGTCCTCACTTCGAAGAGGATTCCCAATCGCTTTCGCGATGGTAGGGTCGGAGCTCTACTCATCACCAAACCTTGATCACGGAGGAAAAGCCATCCGATGAGTTTCCGGAGCGTACCTAGCACCCGATACGGAGATGGTGGATTGGATCAAGTCGGCCTCGACTGTTACAAAGAAGGGAGATATAGATGAATATGCGCACCTCATGTGGTCCCGGTGTCTAGGCCTCGCCTGGCTGGGGCTGCAGGTTTTTTGAGACATTTTCCCGCGCACGCAGTTTCCATTGCTACCTTTTTTTTTTGAAGTAGAAGGTTCCGTGGAAAAGGTGGCTGAATTCCACGGGTAAATACTGAGCTGAATGGCTATTCATCAAGGGGAATATATCAATGATCTTTCAAGTAACAAAAGAGGATAGGAGCACTGTACAAGGTGTGGCCTGGGTCAGAGAGGAGCCCAATGTGCTAGATAGTCATAGACTCAAGTAGCACAATAAAACACAAACACACAAGAGAAGCCCTCCTGGCTAATTAGCCGAAATCTCGATCTTGGCGCCCACAAACGTCCAAAATTGAGAACCTCCCGAAAATGTCAGCCCCAACATGTTCTTCAGAGACTTGTTCCTCCTCTCGCTCCACATCTCTGCCGCCTGTCCCTCTTCAAGATGTATAACACCATTAGAGCATCATTCCCCCATAAACCAAGACCCGAGCTTTGGGCACATAGAGTTAATTTCCCCAGTGTGGTTATACGAAGCGTCGTAAATTTGTAATGGGTGATGGCCGATAATGATTGAGGCAAGCTCCTATTTGCAATTGGGGTTACGCCTTTATCGGTCATCGAGGCGAGATGATATGTGGTTGGAAAGAGGTTGAGGACTCAGAAAATAATGGTGAGTGCTGCATGATTGAGAAGTCGTCAAATCGAGATATGGATGTGTTTGCTTTCGACTTCGATTCAGATGGGATTCTTCTTGGCTATCCCAGATATGCAGAGCATACTGAGCGATTATACCGGCACCGCTAGAAGGCGAAAAATTCGTCTTTGCCAGCACGAATTCCCCGATATCGGCAATGAATCTGGAATAGGAAATCTAAGTGTTACCATTAAAGTTCGTCTTCGAAGCAATGAATCAGCTAGAGTGTATATGACACCATAAATAATATTATGACTGGATAGTGCGCTGATAATGTGTTCACGCCGGTCTTCAAGGTAGTCTGGTTAGCTTGGACACATGTCTCACATTAGAGAAAAGGCCTCAGGTTCGATTCTGACAAAACACAGCTACATCCCTCACACTATTCGTATGCCCAATGTGAAAAACATAGCTTTAGCTTAGGACAAAATAAACAAAACAAAACTATTCGTATGCTTAGATAATTGAAGGTTTTGAACCGTTGATTTGGTGGATGCTTGCAGAGAAGAGTCGTCTGTTTGTGTATGGAATCATATACCAGTGCTATTTGCGAATGAAATCCAAAGTTTGAGTTTCTCTAACTTCAAAAGAGTCACCCGACGTGTATACATAGCACCGATCTTGTATCATTGCTATATATTTGTATATTTATTAAATTATGTAAAAAGGAGAAAAAAATAAAAGGCTCCGCAGTGCCCTGAGTCGAAGTAAATAGTTGTTCCGAAGTTCAACCTACCCTACTGCCACAATGCCGTGATTTCACGGTAACAACTAAGTAATTCGCTTCCTAATGCTCTGATTATCATATTTACATCCCCTGTGTTACAAAGTGGTCAAATCCTTGGTTTATGCGCAGAGATAAAAAATGTTAAAATAATCTTAATTCAACAGATAAATTTCCAAACAATAATCCGATTAAATGACTGTAACTAGTCTCACTTATGTTCTCCTGTTGTTATCACTTAATTATGTATATGTAGTTTAGCTGTAACATATTGTAGAGTATATGCCTGTTATCCCTTAGGCAGTAGTATCTGTAATTCAGTCTACCAACAAGGACCCAATCATTAGGGATTGGGTCAAGTAATAATCAACCATCGTTTTCACCTAGTCCAACTATTCAGATCTGAATAATTAACCCAACATCTCCTTTGCAGCAAAATTATTTTAGCATAATGACAGTCAAGGTTATGATAATATTGAGGTATCGTAATTGGATACTAGGATTACTCGTCCTTTTCGTAATCGCATACATGGGACCTCTGTAAGATTTCCAATGAATCTATTTGAAGCCATAAGAGCCCAAACAATAATCTGAGGATAATTGCTAAACTTACTCGGTAGAGGAATGTGGATAGCAATGATTCTAGAGCAAAAAATTGGGGGACGAGTCTCAACACCCAACAGTGATGTTACCTGTGAACCTCTAGCTTTGAATGCAGAGTCTACAGAGCTGAGATTGTGTAATACTCTCCTTGTTTTAATGGAGATTGCTAATCGCTTTGTCGCTCTGTATCGTCTCATTCTCTCAACACATCTCTCTATCACAATTATCATGATACTAACCACGATCAGATGTTAGGGTCGAAACCCTTCTCGTCACGAGCCCTCGGTAGTGGAGGAGAAGCCATCCAATGAGTTTCCGGAGCATACCGAGACCCGATACAGTGATGGTGTATTAGATCAAATTGACTTCCAATGTTACAAAGAAGGAAGATGTGGATTGATTTACCTACTTCATATGGTCCCTGTATCTAGGACTGTGGGTTCTTCCGTAAATTTTCCCGTACATGCAGTTTTCATTGCTACCTTTTTATTGGGTAGAATCCGTCTTGATATGAAACAGCGGAGTAGTCGAGCCTGTGAGATTGCATGTGGCTCAAGGCCACAGTATATATCTCTAGTGTACTGGTTAGGCGAGCATGCATATACTTTTATAGATGTACCCACACTAAATGGATACAGGTTTAATCTTATATTTTCTGTCCATGTACCTACAGAATTGTATTGTATAGGTCTATTTAATGCCGCCCACTGAATATAACATCATACACTCCTCATTACTCCGCAATGTGACTTCCGCATAGCTCATAACCATAACAAAAGCTTCTGTGGAACAGGTGGTTGATTTCCATGGAAAGATGTTGAGCTGAATGTCTACCCATCACGGAAAATATATCAAAAATCTCTGTCATAGCTAGATAGCTGCATACACAATTAAATTCTGATGCAAAAAGTAAATATCAAAAATCTTTCAAGTAACAAAATTAGATAGGATCACTGTAAAAGATACGCCCTTAGGTTTAAAAGGGCCCAATGTACTATATGTTCATGTACTCAATTAGTATTATGAACTTAACAAATTTAGAACATGATTTGTCTTTCATATTCGATATGTTAGTGGTTTAAGAATCTGTTATTAATAATTACGGACACCTAGATACCGATACGGCCTGAAAGGTCATGTCGACAGATTGACTAGATGGTATGGTCAAGTGGTATTCCTTATGAGCTTAGCTGGGGTAAATCTCTTAACTCGGGTCAATGCGTCAGTAGGTGTCAAGATCGGACCGGAGGAATGCCGACTGCTTTCCTTAAGACAGGTACTCTCCAGCATAAACGTGGACTCCCAAGTCTTGATCAATCGCCTCTTCTACCTACCATCCACTTTCCCAGGAAGGCCTAATCTAACTCAAATTTGAAATGCTTGCTCGAAGAATACTCGTCAACTCGCGCTATCTGCGCACCTCGCAAGCTCCCACCTTGCGACAAACATTACCATCGTTAGCTCAACAATTACGCTCATATGCAGACCATTTTATCAAGGTTCCGCCGATGGCAGAGTCTATCTCGGAGGGTACTCTTAAGCAATGGACGAAGAAGGTCGGCGATTTTGTCGAACAAGACGAGGAGATTGCTACAATTGAAACCGACAAGGTGCAGCTCCCAGTGCTACTGGTGATACAAACTCTGACATAGCAATTAGATTGACATAGCTGTAAATGTACCAGAGTCTGGTACAATCAAAGAATTATTCGCTGCTGAAGAGGATACAGTTACGGTTGGGCAGAACCTGGTCCGCATAGAACTTGGGAAAGCGGCTGAAAATAGCCAAAAACAAGCTAGCCTAGACGACAACCTGGCTAACTCTACGGACCAGCCGGCCCCTTCAGTTTCTAAGACTGACATAGAGGAGAAATCAAAATCAACAATCTCCGAATCGCAACCAGTCAAATCGTCGCAGAAGCAATCGCCTCAACCCCATGAGACAAAAGCCGAGCATAAAAAGGCACCGCCTTCGAAACCCGATGCACCGCATAGTGATTCAGCTGCGATACCAGGCAACCGCGAAGAGCGCAGGGTACGTGACCCGAAATTATCGGGAGGTTTTAATAACTCAGTCTCAATAGGTGAAAATGAACCGAATGCGGCTACGTATTGCTGAGCGTTTAAAGCAATCACAAAATACAGCAGCTTCTCTAACGACATTTAATGAAGTTGATATGTCAGCGCTAGTAGATTTCCGTAAGCTCTACAAAGACGAAGTCCTAAAGAAAACTGGTGTCAAGCTCGGATTTATGGGGGCATTTTCGCGAGCCTCCGTGCTTGCAATGAGAGACATTCCAGCTGTGAATGCTTCCATTGAGGGGCCAAATGGCGGAGATACTGTTGTCTACAGAGACTATGTTGACATAAGTGTTGCTGTAGCTACAGAGAAGGGACTGGTTACTCCAGTCGTACGAAATTCAAATACTCTTGATCTAATAGAAATCGAACGCAACATTGCCGAACTTGGACAAAAAGTATTTATTTATCCTAACTCCTTTACCCCTTAAGATATGCTGATTCGGTAAACCAGGCTCGGGAAAATAAGTTGACCATTGAAGATATGGCCGGCGGAACATTTACTATTAGTAACGGGGGTGTCTTTGGTTCCCTCATGGGTACACCCATTATCAACTTGCCCCAGTCTGCCGTTCTCGGTCTCCATGCCATTAAAGACAGGCCAGTCGTCGTCAATGGACAGATTGTTATCCGACCAATGATGTATCTAGCGTTGACTTATGACCATCGTCTTCTAGATGGCCGAGAGGCTGTACAGTTTTTAGTGAAGGTGAAGCAGTATATCGAGGATCCTCGCCGTATGCTTTTATGATTGGATTGGTTAGAAGAATTTTGACGACTCATGAGTATTCTTGGCATTCAGTATAATTAGACTGTGTATTAGTGGATCATTACGGTGTTTGAATTATTGTTATTAATACAAGGATAATATTGTGATGTTACCAAGTAATCGTTATTTTATTTTTGATATAACGTGCTAGGCTATAATCATCCTCTACACTTCTATGTATGATTCAACGCGTGATAGTTTGAGCTGTGTCAGGTAAACTTTCAATCAGTGCATAGACCTCATTCCTTCTCAGAATTCAGCCATTTGTTGAAATAACTGAGTCTTACCGTCCAAAGAATCCGATTTTAGCTTGCTGAAGTGTATAATTTAGTCCTCACGTAAACCCCTCAAGTCAGTCACAGTATTGTCTAACCTTACACAGAATTGTTTTCATCACAGGAAACCTTGCGCCGTTTTCTTTTTTTTAAAATAGTATGTGTGTGGGTTTAATGTTTTACTTCAGTCACAGACTATCTAACACATTAAGCTCCTCTCTGACCCAAGCCCCGACTTTTTCTGTGCTCCAATCCTCTTTTGTTACTTGAAAGATTATTAACATACTGCCCGTTATGAATAGCCATACAGCTAAGTATTTGGCCGTAGAATTCAGTCACCTTTTCCACGGAATCATCTACGCAAAAGTAAGGTAGCGATGGGTTCTATATAGGCAGTAAAGATTTAGTTGTAGATAGGGATTTGATGAACGTCCAAATTCGGATCACATGACTGTCAAAGTAATTTTCAATAAACTGGGACCCCACGCTTTAACATATTTAATGCTTGTTCATCTACGCCCATGTGAAGCAGCTGAGTCTAGAAATCATTATCAAGGAGTATCTTTTACACAAAGTACTTTGTGATGGTTGTGAGACTAGGCTCGAATGATAAATCGGCGATGTAAGACGTTACTGATTCAAGGAATCACAGTTGGATCATGAGTTGCTCTGACGAAGTCATACGAAGTGAAGGCCAACACGAGATACGTGTATACAATGCAGATATATCTTGATGTTTAGATACGATCATTTAAAGGATCATATTGTCATTCACATCATTTTAGTATCGTCAATCAATCGATAGTATTCCATTAGAGGCTGTTGATGATTCATGTAGTAGCAATTTTAAATTTCTTGCTAATTTGAACTCGAGAAAAAAAGCGACTAGGTAGAAGTTCTGATTTGGTGAAAGGTGTCTGAATGGTCCTGAGTTCGATGAATAATTAAGACATAACTCAGTATTAAGTATGAGCTGATATCCAGAGTACTCCCACTATACAACTTGGGGTTGAGCGTAATGGACGAAAATGGCGTGTGATGCTTGCTGGCTTTCACATCAAATCATACATTTAGGTGTAGCTCAAAAATAATGATTGTATATGACCATTATCGTACAGAAGTATGCATCAACCCTTATTTGTGACTGTTAGTGTTTAATGTTGAACAACGCGGGGTGACCGGCTGGACTTACCAAGCGGTGCGTCATAGGATAATTCTCGTCTTGGAACAAGCAAGATCGCCATAGTCATACTTACAACCCTCGGTAACGTTTGTGTTTTCTAGCTTTGTTAACAGCGAAAGACATCTTACACGTTATCGTTATGTCAAAAAGGTCGAGTCATAGCTATTCCCATGACACGCAGGAGGTTGTGCACAATGGTGAGCAAACACTGGGATAAATCTTGAGCATCATATTCTTGATTTCAAAGAATTCAGAGTTACTAATTATCTTAATAGGCGAGGAAAGACAGAAGAAATTATTGCAAGAGGATACGGGTCACTTCAGCATGATTAGAATGCTTCACCTGGCAGACTTGATTACAGAAATGAATGGTATGGCATCATCTTTAGTGCGTACACATCCGGTTGCTAAGCAGTGAAGAACTCAGGCTTCTGTGGAATCATGTCAATTTTTTCCTCCATGCGTTACTGTCTTGGACCACCATCTGCACACGGTAACTTATGGGCTGCGCTGGCCTTCATGCCTTTCGGCCTTTTCTTTGATTTTATGGATGGAAAGGTTGCTAGATGGAGAGAGAAGAGCAGTCTTATGGGCCAGGAGCTCGATTCGTTGGCTGATCTGGTAAGGAGTTCACGATATCGAGATCCATTCATCTAAGGCGAATTCTCACTTCAATTTTCCCTAGATTTCCTTCGGTGTATCCCCAGCAGCAGCTGCCTTCGCCATTGGACTTAGGACACCAGTCGACCACGTTTTTCTTGCGTTTTTCGTACTGTGTGGTCTTACACGTCTCGCACGTTTCAATATTACAGTCGCAAATGTTCCCAAAGATCATACTGGAAAGAGTAAATATTTTGAGGGAACTCCTATACCGACGTCCTTATCGATCGCGGCGTTAATGGGGTATTGGGTTAGTCAGGGCTGGGTTTTAGATAATTTACCATTGGGTACTTGGGCTACAGGTACAACATTTGAATTCCATCCTGTCGTCGCTCTTTTTATTGTCAGCGGATGCCTCATGACCAGTAAAAAGATTCATGTCCCGAAGCCATAGATTTTCAACATGTATCGCGGTCGCTTATGGTTCTAAGAAATTGGTTGCAGTTACTGATGGGACTTTTTCTGGCTGATGAAATTTGGTAAAACTTGGAGTGCTGCTACAATTTTAGCAATCTAGTTTATCTCATGTATGAGATAACGTATCAATAACCATAGCTAACAACCAACATAAATTTGCTGGCGGTGGGTTTAAATCAAGCTAATTCGAAGTGATCGCTCACATATTTCAATAATACGAATCTTGTCCCAAACGCCTGATTTTAAGAACTTGTGTTGTATATTTAGCCACGGCCTCGACTAGAAAACCCTCCTCTGCCTCTTGGTGTGAATCCAGAGCCACCGCGAGAAAATCCACCACCACCCCGACCTCCTCTATCACCTCCCCTGGATGAAAATCCTCCTCTACCACGAGGAGCTCCCCTTCCTCCACCACGTCCTCCTCTCATAGGAGCTCCACGACCGCCCCTTCCCCCGGCTCGTTTGGGTTTCGGTGCACCTGGGGGTGGTTTGGGTTTAGGAAGAAATTTTTCTAATGGAAGCAATTTATCGTTGCCTATGTAAAATTTGTCGCCTGACTTGAAGGATGTGGGCTGAATACCTTCACTAGGTTTTATTGTGAAATATAGCGAATTTATGGGGCCCAGAATTTCGTCGACTTTACCAATAGAAGTCTAGGAAGGAATAAGTATTCGAATTGTTCGAGGATTAAATTTTCAGAATCGTATAAAAATGACATACCTTATTTTGAAGAAATATGGGTGCATTGAAGTATGGTATCTTGGTATTAATAGACTCGCAAACCATCTCTCCCTCACAGCTGTGCAGAAATGAACCCATTTCTAAAACTTCGCTGGGTGGACCGTTGTCTCGGCCAAACCCACCACGGCCTATCACCAAGTCAGCTAGGAACGACACTGAAGAGACTGTTGTCAACTAACCACCGCGGGCGCCAAACCCACCTCCACCACGGGAACCACCTCCTGAAAAATTTGCGCCTGTACCACGGCCGCGTCCTCTGAATGCCATTGTTTTGTCGGGCTTTGCAATGTGCCGGTTCAGAGAGAAATTGGCCCGGCTCAAGGCTTAGACGGCGATTTGCTAGCTCACCCTCTGAGATTGTTGGTCTGTGCTCAAATAAATATTCACAATCCGCTAGGGCATTGTGGGGGTAAAATTATCATCGAGAACTTTCACAAGCTCACCCATCCAATCATTATGGAAGCTGCTACTTCGCTGCAAGAAACACGGCCTCAGGGCAGCGGAAAAGTAAATAACAGCAAGAAGAAGCCGAGAGACTCTGATAAATCCAAGGCGGCTACTAATGTCGAGACCGATGGCCCCCTCGAATTAAATCCCTCGGCAGCCTTTCTCGACGAACGTCTTGATCTGTACAAGACGCTCAAAGCAAAATTTGACGCTGAGATAGCCGCAAAGCCACGCGAGGCAATTACTATAACACTCGCTGATGGAAGTGTCAAGGAGGGAACATCATGGGAAACGACGCCTGCAGAAATTGCCAAAGGCATTTCAAATAGTCTTCTAAAGCGCACGATCGTCGCTCGACTGAACAACAGTGATGATCAGCTGTGGGACCTCGAGAGACCTCTCGAAGCGAGCTGCAAGCTAGAACTCCTTTCTTTCGAAGATGACTTGGGCAAGAAGGTCTTCTGGCACTCGAGTGCTCATATTTTAGGAGAGGCTTCAGAAAGAAGATTTGGATGTAGCCTCTGCATTGGTCCACCTATCGATAATGGCTTCTACTATGAGATGGCTCTACCTAACGGGGCTGCCGTCCAACAGTCAGACTGGAAACCCATTGAGACTCTTGTTAGTCAAATAGTTAAAGAGAAACAATTATTTGAGCGTCTTGTTCTTTCCAAAGACGACTTACTGAAGATGTTTGCTTACAACAAGTATAAGCAACATATAATCAAGGACAAGATCAAGGATGGCGAGTTCACCACTGTCTACCGTAATGGACCGCTCATAGATCTATGTCGAGGACCTCATGTACCTCACACCGGAAAGATTGAATCATTTGCGATAATGAAGAATTCGGCATCTTACTTTTTAGGAAATAAAGACAATGATTCGTTGCAACGAATTTATGGAGTATCGTTCCCTGACAAAAAGCAAATGACGGAACATAAAAGGTTCCTCGAAGAAGCTGCAAAGCGAGACCACCGAAAGATTGGTAGAGACCAGGAACTATTCTTCTTTCATGAAATGTCGCCTGGATCGGCAATGTGGCTACCCCATGGCACTCGTATATACAATACTATTACGTCATTCTTGAGAGAAGAATACTGGAAGCGTGGCTATAATGAAGTAATCACGCCTAACATGTATAATTCAGAGCTATGGAAGATATCTGGCCATTGGGATTATTATAAAGACGACATGTTCACTTTTGGTGTCGAGAAAGACACGTTTGCACTGAAACCTATGAATTGTCCAGGTCACTGCTTAATGTTTGCACATCGTGAAAGAAGTCACCGAGAACTTCCATGGAGAGTAGCTGATTTTGGTGTTCTTCATCGCAATGAGGCATCCGGTGCATTATCAGGATTAACTCGAGTCCGACGATTTCAACAAGATGACGCGCATATATTCTGTCGTGAGGACCAGATTAAATCAGAAATAATAGACTTATTCGATTTTTTAAATTCTGTCTATGGTCTACTTGGGTTTACATTCAAGATGAAACTTTCAACGCGACCAGAAAAGTATATGGGAAAGCTTGAGACTTGGGATGCTGCCGAGGATAAGCTTCGAAAAGCGCTCGATGAATTCGTTCCTGGAGAGTGGGAACTCAATGAAGGAGACGGGGCCTTCTATGGGCCAAAGATAGACATAACTATCTCAGATTGTTTGAGACGACAGTGGCAGTGTGCAACAATACAACTTGATTTTCAGTTGCCTCAAAATTTTGGACTTGAGTATATGACTTCTGAAGTACTTGTGAAAGGAAACGGCACTATTGATGCTAAGAATATAGTAGCTGAAGAAACCAAAGTAAAAGATGAGAGCAGTGCATCAGAAACCAAGAAATTGCGTGATATTAAACCCTTGACGCCAGGCTGTGCGAGACCCGTAATGATTCACCGGGCTATTGCAGGTAGCATTGAACGCTTTACTGGAATCTTGACAGAACATTTTGCCGGAAAGTGGCCTTTTTGGCTCAGTCCGCGACAGATATTGATTATTCCTGTGGGGGTTGGATTCTTTGAATATGCTCAGGAACTACACGCCATTTTCAAAGCGCAACAAATGTTTGTCGATGTAGACCTTAGCGGTAATACCTTACAGAAAAAAATACGGACAGGACAGTTGGCCCAATACAACTTTATATTTGGTAAGTTCCCCTAAAACTATCCAACGGTGCTCACTAAGCCTATAAAATAGTCGTTGGCGATCAGGAGATGAAGGGACGAGAAGTCAATGTCCGAAATCGTGATGATACCTCCAGTCAGGATCGCGGGAAGCCTGTCCCTCTCCAAGAGGTTATTACCAAACTCGTTTTGTTACGAGATGAGCGAAGATCTGACAACCCATTCCCCGGAGACGCCAAGGTAACTGGAAAAGACAAAGCTGATGCATGATGAATTGGATGAGCTATTGGAGTTTTTGAGGATGGGAGAGAGCGGGTGGTGCGTGCATGGATAACTTCCTTCTACAGCAGATATTTAGACGCTAAAATGACTGACTTTGGGTAAATGAAGGTCAATGATGAGCATGATGATAATAGAATGAGAATTGAGATGGATTCTCCTACGCGCTACCTCCCAAAAGTTGGTGACTAGCTATTTGAATCTCGATCCAGTGCAAACAAATTTTCCAACATAATCTATAGAATAGGAAGACTATCAAGGAGAGTACGCTCCGTCATCAAACTTGAGTAATTGCGAGTAATTTTCTTCGGAAAAGGGAGAGGGGCCAAAGATGAGGTAGAATCCAGAAAATACACCGCCTAGGCGCCACAGTATTATCATATTTTGTCGGGTGTTCAGCCCTTCCCTAATTGTCTTTAAAACATATCGAACTCACTAGGAAAATAGAGAAGAAAAACGACCTACGGCGAGATAATCATTGTCTATCGGCTATAAACTCGTTTAAAGGCTTGTCCCAAGCACATTGACACGAGACAGGTTGCTTCGCTACAACTTGAGAATTCCTTTGTCAGTTTAGAGATACCAGTCATTTTTTTCAAACTTGCTCCCCAGAATACTAAGTGTTGTAGTGCAACATCTTATTTCCGTGGTCTTTACTCATGGTCCCGACGTGGCATCAACTAGACTTCTATGATCAAAGTGAATAAGTTGGTGGACTTTAAGACAACTTGCCATATCCTCTATGCTTTGTAACTGTTCAATAGAGATGTGGCTCTTTAGGTGAGAACTAGATGGCGATACTGATATGGCAGAAGTAATGTGTCAGTAGTCGTCAATACATACTAATTGTTCAGCGTGGTCAAGACGTTTACCAAAAGGGAGGGCAAAGATTGAACACTAGTCAGTGGTGTCCTCTACGAATCTAAGAGCGAAATAATATCAAATGGCCGAGATTCAGTCACGTCAAATAGTGTATCCGAAAGTTTTTATGGGGATGGCGATCGGGAGGAGTGGTGTTGCCAAGTTTTTGGTCGAAAATCCGCCATGAAGAGATTTTATGACTGCACAACCCAAAGAATTCAATCATTTACAACCCGAATACGAGCTGCAGATGAGATAAAGCCTGTCTGACACTTATTAAAACAACTGACAACCTTTACTATCTCAAATTTTCCTGGAAGGTCTTTTCCATCCAAACTCATCTCTCGACCTACCAAAACACTGCAAGATCCAAAAGTCACAATCACAATCAAAAGTAAACGTGAAGATCCATTCTATTACAACTGTTGAGCTCTGTGAAATCACGGTCGAAGTACTGGCCTTATATTCGTCTATATTTCGGCCAAGAACACCAACAGCTCAACCTGCTACGAATTGTCACCGACTAAATACGTACAAAATTTAGCCGGCATATCAACCACAGCATCCGACAGAATATGGGGCATTGGTGCCTCGGTCTTGAGATCTTCGACCCATATTCGGTCTCCACGGTTAGAGGCACGACAGCGGCGGGGCAAGGCCGGAGATACGGACCGTTTACAAAGTTTCTGACATTGCGTTGGAAAATCGGTATGGGTTCGATGAGTAAGGCGGCTCAAAGAATATGGGCGCGATTTTATGAATAGAATAATAATGATATGAATCGGGAGAATGTGTGATATACTATGGAGAAATAAAAGGTGGGTTGAATGAATTGAATTGATTAGATTATCTGTCTCGGTGATTCCTAGACAGCTTATATACATGTACTCTTGATAGACCAAATCTAGACTAGATACCATCCATCACTCGTTCCATACTCTAACAATGACAATGAAACGCACGACAGTATACAACATAAGTATGGGGTCAGGGTCGGTGGATGAAAGCCTACACGTGTATCAGACCATACCATGCACTAGTCGAGTCTCAAGCATCAAACATGCTCAATTAAGGAGATATAAATCATCTTGTTCGTGATTCATGTGTGAGAATCTTAGTTGTTCCAATCATGGGAAACTTCAGACACATAGAGTCTGAATTTCCAACACATTGCGATAATAAGTGAAAGGTTAAAAAGAAGCTACGATGGAGGAATCAAGGGTAACTGAGGAGGCCTCGCTAGGTGATTGGATGAAGTCGACGATAAAGAAAACAATCCCTGGATAGAATGAAGAGATACTGGAACTAGGCATAGCTTGAATTGATCAGAGAGACAAATTAAACATTTAGAAAGTGTCAAGGGCTCAGGCGCATGGTCGCCGAGTCTGATGAGAAAATTGCGCTTCGGTGTGCTATAATTGAGTTCTCTGGACGGTTGGACTTGACATTTTCAACACACGAGTGAAGTCTGAGGTGGTCAGATCATTCGGGTGGAGCGAGGTTTATGTGCTTATATGGTAGTTCACCTGATCCAGCCCGGGCCCACCCGTGCTTAAGCTCCAGCAGGAGCGCAGCGGTAGTCACTTTATCTAGTACGTTAGTGAACAAATAACGTTGATCAAAAGGTTTTCAGCTCACCATCTCCGAATCGAATCTTTGGAAGAGGCCGTGAAAGAAGACGCCTTCAAAAACTATTAACACGCTCTCAATCTTAGCTCGGGCAAGGCATGCATGGCCAATTCATGAGAGTGATATTATTCAATGAGTATTTTTCTCCTGTAGGATATTTTACTTATGCGGGATGGTGCCGGTATGAAGAGAGACCTAATGATCACCTTACACAAGTATTTTTAACAAATAATACTACGCAAAAGGCTGAAACAGTTACCAAATGCTAATTGCATACTGAGTATCTTAGGCAAATGATGGCGAGTGAGCCAGCGACACAGAGTGTGGTCACTTCTGGCATATCAATCCTACAGAAAAAAGAGAGGCTCTTATGCAAAATCTACTTGCAAACCCCTCAGCAGTCGGTGACATCCCTATGTATTCTCCAAAAATTTCCTCAACCTCACTGCTCTTCCCATCCCCTACTGCCGAGAAAATCCAAGACTCCATCCTACGTGCTGGCAACACCGCTCCTGGTGCAGATAGAATACCCACGGCCATTATCCGGCACGCGTGGCCTTTGATCAAACACTAGGTACTGTCTCTATTTAACGCTTGCCTCTCGATTGGGCACCATCTTGAGTGCTTCCGGAAGGCCATTCTGGTGATGATTCAAAAGCCAAACAAGATAGACTTCTCTTCGCCCAGATATAACCGCCCAATTGCACTCCTTTGTGTACTAGGTAAAGGATTAGAGAGACTTATTGCAAAAAGAATAGCTTGGACTGCTATCCGGCGCAAGATGGTATCGAGCTAACAATTCGGCGCTCTCCCAGACAGATCGACTGTGGATCTAACTACCTGCCTTACCCACGATGCAGAAAAGGCACTTTGTGACGAACGCAAGCTGGTTGTAGTGTACTTTTTAGAAAGATTAAACTATATGAAGAGAGAAGTACCACAACTAGGTATAATGACTATTTGTACGTCCTTCTTGCTCATCCAGTACGTACTCCATTGGTGAGAATGACATATTGCTCCGCCACTGCCCGTTGTCATCTTTACCCTCTAGCTGACTCTCTCACTTGGCAATTCTACTTCGCCGTCTCACATTCCTTCCTAGCTTCAATGTAATGTGGCCAAGTGAAACTTAGTCGCTTGATACAAGATAATATGTAACGCTCTCCCTAATACGCCCCTAAACGCTGCTTAGGTCTCCACCTAAGCTAAACAACGGTCAAACCGTAACACACTTCATGAGAGTTCTACAGCCTGTATGCTTACCTTAGATATCAAGGGAGCCTTCGACGCCGTATATCTGGGACGACTTGTCAGATGTCTACGAGAGCAAGGTCGGCCTGAGAACCTGGTGGGCTGGGTAGGATCTTTTGCCTCACGCCATACGGTGAACATCTATCTTGATGAAGCAACAGGCCCCCACAACATTTGGATTACGGTCTTCCACAAGGCTCACTGGCTTCTCCCATCCTATTCATGCTCTAAACTTCCCCGCTTTCCAAGATGGGATGAAGAAGAAAATATTCGGCTATGCAGATGATGTTGCTCTCCTTGAGACAGGGCCTGATCTACTGAATAATTGCACAGCTCTCTCTCACTCGCTGGCGGAAGCATTAGACTGGAGGGAAAGAAAAAGCATTACCTTTGACCCGGCAAAATCAGAACTTCGACATTTCTCTAGGAGACAAGTCGATAGTAATTTATCAACAACCCCCTCGGTATTATGCAGAGAGAGTTCGGTCTCTGAAATCACAACTAGACCCTACACCCGCTGGCTCGGGGTCCACTTCGATCGGTCCAACTCCTTCAAATAGCGTGTCCGCATCCTCTATGATAAGGCACTCAAGATAGCCAACGCTCTCCGGTCCCCCAGCAACACTGTGCGAAGGGTTTCTCCTCAGCTTATCCGTAGAGTAGTAACATCTTGTGTCATTCCTGTAGCTTATTATGAAGCCGAAACCTGGTGACCAGATCGCAACAGATATACCAACAGGACTGACTCCAACCGAGTTGAAGGACATGTATTCGCTCTACGCAAGGTTGTTATGGAGAGCGCTAGAGCTATTCTGCCTGTATACCGGACAACACCAATTCCAATCCTCTTGCGCGAATCAAGCCTACTTCCTCCGGATTTGGAACTAGACTACAAGTCCAAACGCTCGATACTACATATTCATCTCTTGGATTATAGACACCCTTTACGCTGGTGGGTCTCCGTGATCTGGGCGCAAGCTTTCCGCGTCTCTCGCTTTGCTAGGCGGGCTCTTGAGGCTCCGAATACAGAAACAGTTGATCCTCTTATCCAGCCACCTTGGATTACCAAAGAATAATGGCATAAAAGCAAAATGCGGGTTACCACGCCTCCCATTAATATCCCCACAGGAATCTCCTTCAACGACTTGGTAGCTTACACAGATGGTGCTCGATCTACCCCGCCATCTCTGCCTAGCACAGGCGGTAGAATTACAAATTATCAAGCTGGACTTTTAGTCCATCGGGAAGGTCGAGCCTTGAACCCAAATCTGACGTTGTTTGACGCCGAAGTAGCCGCTATTCATGCCGCACTAAAGATCCCTCTCTCTCTTCCGACTGTTCGCTTATCCAAGAATATTTGGATATTGACAGATAATCTTGAGGTTGCTCGCCTTCTATTTCAATTCCCCATTTCCTCATCACAAGGTTTCTTCCTGTAGATAGAGAATCTGGCTAGTAAATAGCCCCCTCGTCATCGCCTGCCTCATGTTCCTCCGGGGCAGGTCCAAGCATATTAGGTGTCTGTATATTTTGGTATCTCTGTATATAAGCTTGATGACGCCTTGGCTAGGGAGGGGCTGTCGCAGCCCCTTCCTACATCAGTCCCCTTATCATCCTTCAATGCCGCTAAGAGCCTTGCTAGAGATGAATTAGCCCTTGCCATGGAAAAATACTGGAATGAGCACGCTCCAGACTCATATAGAAGAATCGGTATCAACTCCTACACCAGCTACCCGAAGGAGCCCCTACTTAAGAGATCTTCCTTCGAGACTTTACGCTGCCCGTTCGGGGCATGGCGACTTCGCTGTGCACCACTCTCGTTTTAACCACCCAGATGCACACGTATCTTGCAGCTGCGACCTGGCCAAGGCGCCTAAAAATTTCCCGGAATGTACTATGCCTAACCGTAGTCTTCCGCCAGTTCCAGTTTCTTTTAGCGATCCAACAAAATTCTTTTTAGACTCCTAGGAGGGGGCAGAAAGTGTTGTCAAATGGTTCGATCAGACAGGATTCTACTCAGCAATCTTCTCTAGAAATTCAGGCTGAATTAACTCTTAGTAATTATTCTCGGTGCTATCAAATTACACGTGGTAGTCTGTCTGTAGAAAAGGAGCAGAGTCTAGAGGTGAGGACTCCGAGGGAAAAAGCGTATCATGAAATATTACTTACATAGCGCGGATGTGACATCAGGCGTTGCTTTATATGTATATGAAGGGCTCGGCATATCTTGTCAGGGAGTGGCGAGGGCGAGGCTTCCAGAGCAGTAAGTACTGGCGTCTATCTCCAGTATTAAGTATGCTGCAGGAGCCCAATTTTCGGCTTGGCATCCTTCTGGACATTAAATAATAAAACAAAACAAACGATCAATCATACAGAGAATATAATTCACCACTAGTGCGTCAGATGAATATCAGATGCTCATCTTATCCAAAATAGTAAATAATCAGCTGATTGACTACTGAAAACTGGATGACAGAGGGCAATTGACGCTAGCACTGTAAAATTTTCCCCAGTCATGTCTAAAAGCTATTCATACCGTAGGTTCATGGGGTCAGAATATACGCCATCGAAAGTCTGAGAATGGAAGACAAAGACTGAGCCTCTATCTGCTGTGTTCTCAATGAAACTACGTGTAAAATTTTCCTTCTAGGGCCGAGTCCAGTTAAATTTCGCAATTCCGAAGAAGTTGGCCCATAAGGCAATGATTCATGATTGCACCGAATCAAATTTCTACTCCAAAAAGACTCTATCCCATCAAATCCTGATCAAGTCTTCAAGGACGACCTAGTCCATCCTTGTGTCTATGACCACACCACTCGTAAAATCATAATCTGGGCTTAAGTGGCCTCCAAATATGCGTTCTCGACGGTATTTACACCCACCGAAGGAGACAATTCGTGGCGCACAATTCTAGCAGGCAGAAACTCGGGATAGACCTTGAGAGATATCAAGATGGATACGCGGGATGATGCAAACTGTTGATACAATATTGGAATAATTTATATTTCGGTTTTTGGAAAAGAGGGTTTAAAACTTACATTGTGCGCTTCGCGACTTCGTTTGCGATAGTGCAGGCGACACTATAAATACCATGGCTGGATGGTGCGGTGGTACATCATGTTGGCTGGTCTCCTACATAAAGTTGGGATAGCTTGGATACATACCCCATCTAAGACAGAAGATCGCTGGCTCGGATCTTAAAAAACACAACCACATGTCCTGCGGCGCTGGCGTACATGGATTGATTGATATAAATTTGAGTTTCTACATAGTCTTAGACAATGAATGACTGCTTAGGATCTATCTAATCAGTTCCTTAAATTATAGGTTGACTTCCAATATGAGTAACGTACATGGATGGCAAAGGTATGCTTGGAGAATCAAAGGTTTTTAAATGAACCTTAGATGAGTACTTGCGGAAGAGGGTTGACTGTTTGTGTATGCAGAAATACTTCATAGTGTTGTATTCGAATGAAATCCAGAGCATGGGTGTCTCAAACGTCAGAAAAGTCACCCAACGTGTATGCATAGCACCGATCTCCTAACATAGCTAGAAAGCCGAATACATATTAGATCATTAAAAACCAATCCCACGAATTAGCGTCATAAGAGGGGAGTTTCTCGGGTTGATCGCCCATTTCCCTCCAGATACCCAATTACTCAACTTCATGGATCTCAGGACCATGCAAGAAGTACGAAGGGAAACACGTAAAATATCACAGGCTTTGGTGAGATCAAAATGGATCTTTAATTCTTAGTTCTCTCATAGCAAATCTCTTAACTACCCTGAGAGCTAGTTCTTTTCCTCCTGATACTGCTAAATAAAGGTTCAACTCCGTCTAACACCGAATTTTACCCCATATAGCCACTTCTCCACCCTGTTTAAAAATAATAACAAAGCCCTCTTCTTGTGAGGTCATGAAAATTGCCCAACTAGTCAGTTTCTTGATAAACGTTTATTCACCTTCATGTACAAGTTAAATGTTTATCGTGTGCGAGGTTTAATCCTGCTTTTACTCCGAGAAATAAGGATAAGTTCTTGATATATTCAAAGTTGCAGCAGAAACTCAGAGATAAACTATTTACTTCTTACCTAACTTATGGACAAGGCCACAAGTTTTAGAGGTATGGCGGGTAATAATTTAGAAATATTTTCATGTACAGGTCTTTTGGGTTACACTGCATAAGTTTTCTCTGTCTAATTTTGACTATGTTTGTTACTATGCCTTTTGGTCGAGCATCTTCTTGATAGTAGCAGTAGCATATTTACATGCAAGCTTGATCGTTTCGCTAGCTTGTTTTCCTCCAGCTATATCAGTGTTGTAGACGACCTTTTTCAGAAATCCTTGTAGCCCCATAAGTAATCGAGGAGTATCAGGAACTTTTGAAAGTATGTTGGCTATTGTTTTTTCCTCAACTTTCATTTCAAGCGTTTGGGTCCGTAGAAATATAGTTATAAATAATATCTCAACAAAAATCTTCATTTTTGGCTGGAAGTAATCCAAATTGAGAGGTTTGAGAATACTTAGGCTTAAAGAACCCTCTGCAATAAGGGCACCATATAACTTTGCTAGGGTTACCAGCCGTCTCATGTCCAGCTCTTCTTCGTCCCTTTCAGATTTATCGTCATCTTCTGACTCTTCCATTCTTTTAAACAGATCCCACAAGCAGTACTGAAAAGACATTCTCAATCTTTTTTCACCACATATTTTCTTGGCAAGTAGAGTATAGTAGGGATTATGGCTGCTTTCAGATAGAGCACAGCGGATCAAGACCTTCGGAATTTCGTATTCTTGAATTTTTTTCAATTTAAGTTTCATCAGACGGACGTGAGCGTCTTCATAATCCGTGGCGGACATGATACTGACAAATATTGCTCTACGGATATCAGTGTTCATGCGCTGTTCTCTTGCTAGCTGCGAGAAATCCAAGGCTCCCGGGTCTCTATCGTGACTTATAATCTTTAGATCATCTGTCTTTTTGCTCTCTTCTTTGACAGGCCCAGACCAGCTGGCGCCAACAAGCCACCACTTCCCTCTTTTGTCTGAGTCCTGAATATCTTTGAGACTTATGCGTAGAGGCTCCGAGGCTTTTACGGTCCGGTTATTTAAAGATCCCAATATTTTCTTCATACGTATGTTGTGTTCAGATGTAACGGCAGAAGCGACACCGCCTGTTTTCATCCGATTATTCTTAAGGTCATCAATTGTCTCCATCATGAACTTTGTTCGCACAGTTATATTCTTCTCACCAACTCGCGCAGCTACTGATTTTAACGTTACAACAACATCCTTAAGTGAACTGGGATCGTCTTGACGTAATTGAGGGCCCGAAGTTCGGATTACTTTTAAGAGAAGTTCAGCATTAAGTTCTGAAAGTTCTTCCAAGAGAAATCGTATATAATCGAACACGAGATTGCTCCCCAAAACATGAAAGTTGTACATTTGCGCCAAAAGTGTGATCAGATTAGATGATTCCTTAGTGAAATCTACCCTGCTGTTAACTATTGGATTTGATTTTAATGCGCATGCATGGGTATAGTGTTTGTCAAATAATTCTACGATCTGCTGAACAATCTCCGCTCCAAAATCTGTTCCGATGACCTTGTAAACAGCGGTGATAAAGCCAGCACACAAAATAATAAGCGTATCCGGAAGGTTTGTGGGCTCACAGACAGAGACTAGTAATATATTGACAAGAACAGACGTGACATTATGTCGAGCGTTTTGTTGATAGAGCTTCTCTATTTCCCAAAGAATTGCTTGTAGGTTAGTCTCCGTCAACCTATTTATCAAACCCTGAATTCGTCTTTTGAGGAGGAGATCTTCGGTGTGAGAAGAATTTGAAGCTCTTAACGATGGCGGTACATACTTTTGTTTTACATTAGAGGTATGCTGAGTCGATTGTAAATCACCCTGGGATATCGGGATACTAGGTGATATGTCATCGGATTCAAATCCAGAAAAGCTTTCGTCCTGGGAAAGACTACTATGATTAGTCGTTATCAAACCTTTATCTACTGGCCTGTGACCACTCTAATCCGTTCAAGGAGGGGTTGGATCTGATATGTGTTTCCTAGAAGACACTTACTTTTGTGAAGTACTGGAGTGCAGGTCTTCCTCGCCATGGTTCTGATTTTGATACATTGAATCGTTGGTTTCTTTAAACACGAGAGCTTCTTTTCTCTTGCGCTTTAGCCATTTTTCGCTTTCGAAATCCACAGCCTTTTTTTTTTCAGGGACAAGATCTTCGATATTATCTAGATCGCCGAGAAGAATATCAAGCCCATCATCTTCGAAGGACCTGGGTAACTTCTTTGATTTCTTAAGCCCAAGTTTCTTTTCGAGTGCAGCAATCTCATCATCATCCTGAGCCAACTTTTCCAAAGCTGCTCTTGATACTACAGGCGTCGGTGCTGACAGTAGCTTGTCATTTTCCTCAGATTTATCTTCGTGGGTTGTTCTGGAGGAACTACTACATTTTGACGAAATAGTGGATAAAAGCTGTGGCTTTCTATCTCCTCGGAGACTTTGAGAATTTACCGAAGATGAATCAGAAACTTGAGGCGACACCTGATAGATTTCAGGAGTGCTCGTACGGTTGAGTTTCTGGCGTTTTTGCGGTGGTGGGCCTCTTTTGAGACCTTTTTTCTGGTCTCTTGCAGCTTTGCGATTTTGTTTTCTCGTGCCTGGATTGGATTGAAATTTCTGCTGTACAGTCGTGAGGCCGGCTTTTTGTTGGGTTAATTGAAGTATTACTAGAACAAGGTTTCTTACAATCTCTTAGAATCTGATCATGTATTGTTTTCGGTATCCTCAAAGTCTTTCGGTCGGCTGCCATGTTGTTATGCAATTGAATTCGTAACTGGAAGATCCTGTTATCCGAGCGGCTTGTGATACAAATTAGTTTTCGATTTATGGATCGCAGGCAATCCTAAGCCTGTGGATTTCTACAGCTCCGCCACAAAATTTAGATCAAAATTTATATTTCCGCAGGTGCATTCTGATCATGTTTACAGGACATTTGAGTCACGAAGATGTGTGTACCTTATCATAACAGCAGCATGTAACCTAATGTCAATCATGTAGTTTTTCGCCCAGTTATCTTTGCTCTTTGAGTCTCCGCGCCAGAAAAATCATGGGAGCGTCTACTTGACTCAGAAGCCCAGTCGGGATCCAATTCAATCTATCTTGCCCTACTCTAACGTCGACAGTGACATATAACACCACCAGTCCAGCTCAAAGCAAAGATTCTCTAGCTCAAGAAAATCATCCAACCACTCCTCTTCCGATAATCGTACGTGCCTCAAATGGAAAATCTAAGGAAAAGAAAGATAAAAAGATCAAACTTTCTACAATAGTAGAGGCGGATTCGTTAGAAGCATTCTTCACCAAATACGCAGAAGTCTGCAAGGGAGGCATGAGCGGGATGAAAAAGAGAGACCGTAGCAAGGCAAAGGAAAAGCTGAAGGCCAAGAAAAAGCGCACAGAAGCCGCTGCTGTAGTAGCAGAACTTAAGAAAACCTAGGGACATTTTTGTGAGTGGGTTTCAGTCCAGATGTTAGGAATTGAATATTTCTTCGATAAGTTAGTCTAATAATTTATGGAACAGTTATATCGAATGAAATATTTCGGTTCAAAAGTATTTTTGTATACTTTATATATTAAGCTGCTGCATTGAAAAACTCTCATCTATCATAATTGTAAGAAGAGCTTTTATTCAAAGCAAAATCTACCAGTGGACATCAAGAAACATCTTTAACACAATCTTACTAGTGAAAAATCTATGGGTACAATTACAATTCGATTAGGGAGGTTCTTATCCACTGACATTAGAGAGAACCAGTCTTTGCTTTGGAGTATTCACACAGAGGAAACTTTCAGCCATTTAAATTTGATCTTTAGGTATATATCTTAAGACCCAGAGTGATTGTGATTTACCCGGAGCGAAAAATCAAAATCTTCAGAGCATTCTTTCAATAGGATCAGCTATACTACAATATCTTTTTCTAGAAAGTTCAAATAGACAAACTACATAAGTACAGTCAAATAGGACACAGATAATCTTCACTCTAAGATTACGATAATCCTAATCACGCGTCTACTTCCACCATGAGCTTCTCCGTTTGTGCACGGCATGATGATGGATTTTTGATTACTATGTGTACTCTATTTAACTGGACCTATTGGGTCTCATCTCTAGAGCAGAGATGGATCGGTAGGAATTAGTGCGATTTATTTGGCTTTCGTGTTTGATAATTTGCAGAAAATTTTCCAGTTGTTGGCTAGAAGCATGCATATGGTGATTAACCTATTTGAATTGAATTTGGAGATACTTCTTTCCATTGGCTATTGTTCACTTGACATTTTTAACTTTATTTAATCTGTAATAACCTATTTAACCATCAGACTTAATCAGTAGTTTTTCTTCACATCAGATTTTAAATGCGTTTGCAGCTATCTTGCAATGACACAATCTCAGAGAAAAGGTACACAATATATGGCTCAATTTAGAAGTAGAGGGCTCATGGCTCGGATTCCATTTGCAAGCACCACTGCGAAGTTGTGGTTGATTTTTCTTCACTCAAAGTCAACCCTCATCCGTGAATTCCCACCCAGGGAAACCTCCCAATAACCCTGAGTTATCCAGACATGCCTCCATCATCTTTCAAGTTTTTCTGCGCGCGAAATGTAGTCACACATAAGGCTCGTGTCTGCTACAAACTAGTCGTTGTAAACCCTAGATTGACCCTGTGTCGGCTTACCAAATATTGGACCGACGACCACCTCGCCAGTAAAAATGTCGGGGCGTCACGACGTGAGTGAGACTTACTATGGCCACATTGCTGAATACAATATGAATCAAGAAAATGAAAAAGAAACTGAGAGTGAGAGTGAAATATTCTCCTAGAGCCAAGTTCAGTCAAATTTCGCAATACCAAAGAAGTTGGCCCACGATATAATGATTCAAAATACTCCATCATGTCAAATTTTCACTTCTAACGAGGTGGATTCATTCTCAAACCTCATCAAGTTTGCAAGTACGGCCTATTTTATCCTCATTCCAATGACCAAACCCCTCATCGTCTATTTTCTGGTTTCAGTTGGCTACTAGATATACATCCACGACAACACGAATATCCGCAGGAGGACAAAAATTGTGGCGCACAAGTTTACGAGTTAGTTCTGCGGGATGGGCGTGAGAGAACTCGGGACAAGCCTACAGGATGATGCACAGGATTGACACAATCTCGACAGGTGTGAGACTTTGAATTTTGGCCAGGAGTTTTACAAATTGAAAAGGATTGTGCGCGCCAAGAGTTCAATCGTGAGAGTGAGGCTGACACGATAAACACAAGCAAATGACGGAATGTGCTGTGGTCCGTCTTCTGGTGGCTGTCTCCAGTACGGTTTGAATAGCCTGAGCACCTACTCCACTTGGGAAGGAGACACCTAAGACCATATTTCGCGCGGAGAAAAGTCAACAAGTGATGGAGGCATGTCGAGGTAACTCGGGGCTTTTGGGACGTTTCCCTGGGTGGGAAATCACGGATGAGGGTTGACTTGGAGTGAAGAAAAAGCCACCACAACTTCGCAGCGGTGCTTGCAAATGGAATCTGAGCCATGAGCCCTCTACTTCTAAATTGAGCCATATATTGTGTACCTTTTCTCAGATAACGTGTCATATCTGGACAGCTCTTTACGCATTTAAAATCTAATGCAAAAAATAAACACTTAACTCCTGGCAACTAGCTTCATCAAAAACACCTCTATGTTTACGAGCCTCGTGTGGCACAAGTCGCCTGAATCAGTAGTACCACAACCAGCTCCAATTTTACGTAACTATCCTGTAACAGCCGCTCGAAGAACCTACCAATACAAAAGTTCATACAGCCTACCTGCAGTAATATCAAGCTACCCAAATAAGTGTAATAATATATGAGCAAACAACAGAAGATTACATCTAGCAATTTAAGTGTAAATTTGCGAGGAAGATCCGTTGTTTCTCAATCTTAGAGCGACGGCTACTCTAGGCTTTCCTTTGGGCGAATTAACCAATAAATTATATCAAGATTACCTATACCAACTACCTCTATCATAGGACTTCTCTCTAGAGGCACTCTACATAGGAAAAGTTTTCCACTTCAGCTCTTACCACCTTTCCTTGGCTTGTCCCTCACTGTCCATGAGAGCAAAGCATAAAGTTAAACAGTTGGAACTCTAAATATGTAGCTAGTATCTTATTTGTAGATTCTAGGAGTCCTCAATAGTCATTGACTCAGTTAGGACTATAATACAAATCTGATCTAATCTAATCTACCACCTTTCCTTATATGACTAATTCATGACTAACCCAAAGCCCCTTCCTGATTAGTTTCAGGGTTAAGTTTACTCCAAGCAGATTGGGGTATTGTATGCAAGAGTATTTCTACAAGATCCATTCAAAAGAATACAGAAGGAGCCGAGAAAGGTCACGACCTACCAAGAGTGCGCGAAGATCTAGTCCAACTAACGGCGAATTATAAAATTTAGATAACTGGCCATTAGACACCTTCAAACAATGATTGCAGTTAAGTTCTATCGAAGCTGCCATCCTGTAAGGCACACAAAGAGTTTCCAGGCTCCGTCGATGACTTTATGACAAAACTTGACAAGAGTCCAAACTTGTCTGGCAAAACAATTTTAAAGTTGACAAATTGGTCACAACTAGTGATTATTTACAAGAAAGGAGCCCTTGGTCTAAATCCGAAGTTATTCTCCTGGCTACCAATCACAGAACCTGTTGGGATGAAATCATAACTTTTATATAAATAAAGACTTAATGAAATTACAATACACGTTTCCTATCTTAGATACATCATTCGTCGTCCCCCAGTGATGTAACTCCGTAGAGCCATTACTGATTTACTTTACTCGTGTCGCAAATAGAGCGAATGAATTGTCTTCCTGCCTCATGCTTAATATTAGAAGGTTAATGTCACCTGACTTAGATACTCCTCAACACAATACTGCACGTAGATTCCCTATCCTGCTGGTAATCACTAACAGTCAGGTAAATATGTGACGCTCACATTTCATTTCATTTGATTTGATTTCATTTCATTTCATTTAGCCCGTTTAGGTACCCTATTGGTCCATGCAGGTGGCTGTAATCCTATATACATTTACATGAGGGGGAAACTATTACCATCAAGCCCCCATCCCCATAATAATTTTTTAATCTACAGTCCTTCCTTACCTACAGGAAGTGCAATTGGCCTCAAGTCCGACAGTACTAGCTAAAATTAAATTGTACCCCGCCATCCTTTCCCTACCCTCGCGTGCTAAAAAGGGACGACTATGGTCTTGAACTTGACCCCAATGGTCCAAATACTTGTGGTGGGGGATTGACTAGGAGCTGTTTCCGCGGGCTTCCTGACTCTCTCTTTAGTACCTCCGGCTTTTGGTTGGACACCAGAGTGAATGAATGAAAGTTTTTCGTGACGGGCAAGGCCCTGCACTCAAAGGGCTTGACTCGGAGAAGACTAGCTTCTCCGCCGACCAATTACGACGATAACTCAATTTGACATTTGGACTAATCATGTAGTGGGTGCATTCACTGATACCACTCAAGACCTTGTTGCTAGGGACTTTCAGCCTTTCCTCAACCATTAAAATCCACCAAAGGGAAAACAGGAAAACAGGAAAACCCTTTGGCTACCCTAACATGCTTTTGCCATCTTGTATGTAGTCAACACGCGAGTTATGGCCTCACAGTCTTCCCATTCTCGAGAGAGGCAAGTGTCCAGGCTATCTAGACTTTAATTTGGGAATATGACGAGCAGGAGGCGGTCCACAACACCTTCCATTGTTGCCTGTTTTTAGAGTTTCAGTGGCACTATCCAAAATCGTTGCTTCTGCGCCTACAGACACCCTTAAGTCGAAAACAATCGAAAAATGTGCGTCACACCATACCCATTTATGACCCCTTCACTCGTTTATTCCACGTCCTAAATGCCTATTCTCTCTCAAGATTTAAAGGACCGTGTGGGCAAGATCTTAGCTTTGTATATTATAGCCTAATTTCCTCCTTACGGATATACCTAGAATGGTAAATTTATAGTGGCCGGTTTATGATGAGGCAAATACCCGATTGCAACTGGAGTAACGCCATTATCGGTATTTGAGGCGAGATGGTGTTGTAATATTGAGGCAGGGGATTCGTCTTTACCAGCTTGGAAACCAGTGCGAACCCTTGGTTTTCAATTGTAACTGCTGTTTTTTTTTATTTATTTTTGTCCTGAGTTAAAGCTATGTTTTCCACATTGGATCAAGGAACGGTGGAGCCGACAAGGTTCCCTGTAATCTTTCCTACAGCCTTAACTCGTTCCAACCTCGTAAATTGCTGCCAAAGTTGCAGCTGATCAAGCAGGAACGAAAAATCACGAAAATCAAAACAGCTCCGAAAGACAGAAGGTTCCTCCATATTCGACCCAAGCAATACGCTCCTCATACATTCCATCATCTATCACACCTTCCAAATGACAAATTTGCCCATTCACTGCAGAGAGCAAAAGATGGGTTAGCAGGCACCTTTTATCCAGCTGGTATCCTGCTATTGATTATTAGATGCCTCAAAAAAGACACCGTCGAGGTTGCTGTGTCCTCTAACTTCTTCTTCAGATTTCAGAGCTCCAAAACCCGTTGCCTCGGCCATCGAGACATCCTTCGCCGCGACGATGATCGCCTCCTCGGCCCTTTTGGCTCCTGCTCGAGCTCGTGCCACCTTTTAGAACTCCACATGTTCGATGTGGTAGATCCACGCGAGCTACTCTTTTGTCACCGGTCTGGATTTTTTTAGGTCTGACTTGGCAGGCCCGAGAATCCGATCGGTGGGGACCCCCACAGTTACGACACTTTGTGAGGGCCTTGCACACGGCTTCCAAGTGCATATTTGATCCGCAGTTCTAGCAGCCTGGAGCGCGGGAGCAACCACAGGTGGCGTGGAATCCCAAACATAACTGCTGTTTTGGTTGAAGATATTGCAGCAATTTTATAATTCTCCTTTCTTGATTCCGCTGTTCTGTCCATTAGTTCATACCTGGCCCTTTGAATGCTAGCCTTGTAAAATGCAAAGTTTAGACACGCTCCCTTTTGCCACAATTTATGGTCTTTGCCGCAGTTGCAGCAAAGCACCGACTTCCTCGGGCAGTCTCTGGTCTGATGAGTGCCCGCACACTTACCACTCCTTTTCACCCTATCGCACGAGGCTTGAGTATGCCTCCATTGGCAGCAGTTGAAGCACTGCATGATTTTTGCTCGGGGTGACCAGAGCTGGGCCGCGTATAGCATTGAGTTGTGTACAATACCGTCTCTTATCACTTCATGTTGAACTGCCTCTGTCGGCAAACTCGCGTCAATTAACCCTCGAGTTTAACTGTTTCTTCCCATTCATCGCTACTCCTTTATGTCAAAAAGCCATCTCACACAGTTAATTTCAAGTTTTGGATTCCCAACTTTGGTCTCTGCCATAATTTGTTTTATTAGTGTGCCATTATCCTGGTTTTTTCCTTTTCGTATAAATGACCCCAAGGAGATCCCCAAAATTTCAACAGGATAATCCTGCTTTAGAACGCAGAGCATCTTTGGTTGCGACATACTGAGAGCAGCGTCTCACTGGGAGACCGACTGCACAAACACCCCTGTGTCATTGCTCCGCAGCTTTTTTGCTGCGTATGCCCCCTCGATATATATTTTTGCCAGTTCTAGAAACTCTACCAGCTGCATATTATCTGCTCTCTGTATTCTTATTCGTACTGCTGCCTTAGTTGCTGGCGGTGCGACGATAGAGGCTTATGCGGGTCGCCCTTGCATTCCTTGTATTGCCGAAGCAGCCCTCTTGCGCGACGGCTACTCGAGAATCTTCAATAGTGCCTTCTCTGAGGCCAGCATTTTTTACTTCATTCGTGAAGGTTTTAGCTATGATTATAACATCGTAGCGTGGGCTTTGAATGCATCAAATGCCTCAATCATCTCGTCTATTGGTGTCGCAGATTTGTCAGTGCCTGCTATCACGTATCTATCTCTGAACTTGTTTAGGAATAGCTCTACTGTCATTATTATGTCCATGTTGACGTCTGTAAATGTCGCAAAAGATTCTACAACCGTAATTGAGGCGGTTCTACTGTCCGTTGCTTGTAGTTGTGGCGCCGTGAACACGTTTCTTGCCGTGAAATCCATCTTTCTGGCTCCCCAACCCGCAATGACAAAGCGCTATTTGAAATAAATGGGGAATTAATTAGAAAGACTGATTAAGATGGTAGGAATTACACAAACGATGAAAAATCGTTAGTGACATGTGGAGCCGCATTGACCGAGTGATAGTATCTTTTATTTGCGATAGTACTGATCCACAAATTGGATAATCGTGTATATAGCTGGGCTTCTTGGGAGATAAATTGGAAAATCAGAGCCGTAGGATAGATATATTAAGGAAATTTTCCTTGAAGTGTGCTTGTGCGCAATACCTTAAAATTTTAGAGATCTACTTGGACTCCAAATATGGGTTTCCTACTTGTGACAATTTTGACAAGGAGTAAGTTCTATTGTCAGTAAAGACACGTTATCACAGCTAGTTGAAGCTACATTAATAGTTAGTTTCATAGATTAAAGAGAATCGAGACTTTGACATTAAACTAGACTCTATTCCCTATAAAACATGAATTTATTCCTTGAGATGTTCATCGCCTGTTAACCCATGCACTAGCGAAAGAGGGTGTCCTTCAAGACATTCTTAAAAGAGAACTTGTGTACATTTTAAAATAGAACGCGAAACTGTAAGTTATAAGCCACAAAAATTTGAAAGCTCCGGGACCCGTAAAAGAACAATCACAAATTTTTACATGATCTGATCCTGCGTCAGACTGGTGGCCTCGGTCTCCATTGCATCACCCCCACCACCTGGTGTCTGGTATTTGACGAAACTCAGCCCAAGAGGTCGGCCTCCATATTGGTATCCGGAGAACTTTTCGATGGCGATTTCGGCATTCTCCACAACGTCAAATCTGACTACACCAGTCCCTCGGGATCTTCCATTGGGTTCGTACTGTATCTCAGCTTGCTCTACTTTTCCGATGGTAGTAAAGAGCTCCACTAAATCCTCGTTGGACGTTGACCACGGGAGCTATTGCAGTGTTAGCTATCTCCTACAAATGTCAACCTTTGAACAAACATTTCGAACGTAGATAGTATCTCCCCTTTCAGTGCCAGCTGTAGCATAGTCGGTGAAAGGGTTCGGCACTGCAGGCACTAACCCAGATCCTGAGTCGAAACCACCTGGAGGTCCACCGAACCCGCTGTAGCCACCACGGCCACCATATCCACCGTTTCCATAACCACCGCGCATGCCGAATCCACCGCCGCGAACTCCAAATCCTCCACGACCACCATAGCCTCCGCGACCACCGAATCCTGGGCCAGAGGTAGCAAAGCGATCTTCTCGAACTTCTAGTGGGCGACCTTGCCAGTCATATCCATTAAATTGCTGTATTGCGTTACGTGCATCATCTGCGGATTCGAAAGCTACAATTCCTGAGCCTTTTGGTCGCCCATCAGGCCCGACGTGGACATCAGCACGAGCAACGGCACCGTTCCGGGCTAAAAATGTATGAATGGTTAATATGATCTTTACTAATTTAAGTATCTTGGGGTATCGTCAGCTTACCGGCTTGTCGAAATAGATCTTTGAGGTCTTGCCATCCAACTGCATATGGGAGCTATAGAGGAGTTATTCTAGGGTTCGATGGTGCAAGGATTTGATGGTCAAGGACAACAAACGTTCGATACGTAGATCTGGCGACAGCCTCCAGCTGAGCCACTCATTGGACCACCCATCGCACCGCCAAACCCACCACCGAAGCCGCCACGGCCAGGTCCTCCATCGTGGACGCCGCGACCGGATGTAGGTGGGCCTGTGAATCTCGGTTCAGCCTCTCGATCCTATTTGTTCAAAATTTAGCCTATTCCAGAGTTGAAGTGTAGGCATCCTACCTCGCGAACGTAAACTAGTCTTCCCATCAAGTTCTGGTTGCTTAGCGTGTTGACAGCCTGTTGCGCTTGCTCTCTTGTGGCATATTCTACAATGCTAGAATCTATTAATGAAATGTTGATAGAGGTGTCGGAAGTGGCTTACCCGCATCCCTACATCACCCATGGAACATTGTCCCAATCCGTCAATCCAACGTTCCATCAAGAACCAAAAAAAGAAAAGCCAGCTACACATAGGCGCCCACCTTCGACATTCCATTCGGAAGTAACAACACATCTGCGAAGAGAACTTCTCCAGCTGGAAATAAAATTTATTAGCTTGTTGTATAATGGTTGCATTATTATTCTCTTACCAGATCTCATAAAATCTTTTAAATGGTGCCACTTAACATCATAGCTGAGATTGCCAACGTATACGCTGAGCGATAGGTTAATAATTTTCTTGTACAAGATGCAGTTTTACAAACCGACGATCTTGCTGAGAAGACTCTTTTAAGCTTGTCAACATTTGCTCTCTTGCCTGGGCTCTGTCTTCGAAAGAACGATGAGGAGCACCACCACCAGCTGACATGCCTCCACTGATGGGTGATCTAGAGCGTCGGTCACTTCGATGGCGTTCTTCGCGGCTATGGCTGCGGGGACTGTAAGACCGACGTCGAGCTGATCTTGGTGAACGGGACCGGCGTCTCGGGGATCTTTCGCGCTGCGATGGATTGTGCTTAGTTTCAGTCATGAAGCAGAGAGGTAAACTGAGGTAGAGGAATGGGAAGGAGGGAGTGTGAGTAGAAATTATGATCATAGCCGTCAAGGTAGCCGAGAAAGGCTAGATTGACTCGGCAATTAACAGCTCCAGTTATAGGAGTAAGATTTTGCTAGATGGAACGAATTGAATTGTATTTGACAGTATCTTGGACATGATGCGTGCACGGTGATGACAGTGTATTAATAACTTACTCCTGATCGGTAGGTTTCGTCTATAAAGATAGTTAGTGGTCTGGTATTAGTAGGGGACAAAACTAGTAACGGGTAGGATAATAGGGTTTTGGAGTGAACAATAAAGCTCAAGTGTATGGCGAGTGATGATAGTGATGGTGTTGATGGTGGTAACGTGTTGAGCAAGGAACAGCAACGGGATGGGTTAAGTGGAACGGGATAACAGGGGAAGCAACTAACCTGCGCCGGACATGTTTCTGGATAAGTTGACTCTGTTTGCGGATAGAATCGGGTTGGGTTGATGGTGGAATGTTGGAACGAGCCGGGGACGGAAAAACCTGACAGAAGAACAACAAGGATATGTGTTAGCGCGCGAGTTGTGGAATAGAAGGGGGGAGTGGACGTGGGAAGGTCGGTCCAAGTTGGTCTAAAATAGGCTAGACCAATCCAACGAGATCTAGCGGTAAATTTTAGAACCAAGCAGTTGATTGTCGACTCACTCGATGGAGAAGCTGGGTGTTCGGGTATGCAATTGTCGGCCAAGTAAACCAACAGTATGTTTTGTCTTTGTTGTAGGACGGACCCTGGGAATATAGAGTGCACGCGTCAGCAGCCATCATTTTGGTAAATTGAGGGTGAGGTAGGAGGTGAGACTGGGGAACGGCAGTAGATCAAGACCAGAAGGGGCAGGATGACTGAAGGCCGTGACTAAGGGTGATATTGATTGATGAAAGGAACAGAAAAGGAGGCGGGGAGAGAGACAGGAACGAGCGCAACATGTTGATGACAGGTTGAAGTTAGGAATTTGCTACTGTACTGGTGGTGTTTGGTGAAGTAAGAGTTAATTACAGTAGCCTTCTCGAATCTGGAAACTGCTTAGGTACTGCAAACGACAATATGTGTAAAATTTTGCAGCCAATGAGTGATACGAGGAAATCCTAGTCGCAGGTCTCAAGGTCGTAAGTAGATCTTGCGCTGGAGGTTGGTGGTAGTACCACAAGTTCTATTAATTGCTGAAGATGCTTCTTAACAGCCGATTCAAAAGTCGAATGGATGATCGAACGGTAGTATGTAGGTCGAAGCAAGTGGAAGGCGATGTGAAGGGTGAAAATTTGGGAAACGACGTAAGAAGGGGACAAGACACGGTTTCCAAATGTGGTTAGTCTTCACTATCAAAGGGGGATGGAGGCTATTCTTTATGAATACATCACATGATCCTTCAAGTGACAACGCAAAAATTTAGGCTGTTCACGGTTGACCAAGTAAATAGTCGAGCTGACAAACGGTATTCAACGCTTAGTCAACCATAAGTGTTGACTTGTAGCTTAACTTGCAAGATGTCCATCAACGCTGTTTTTCCGAGACCATTAAGCTTCCATCTTGTTGCACCAGGAAGTTCACTTGTCTAGTGCGTACCAGCGGGTACAGGACCGTGCTCGGATATTAAGGACAAGGCTGACAGAATTACAAATGTAAATTGAACTACAACTCATCTCGTGCGTCCGAATCAAATATGGTCATGTGATGAAGTACGCTATTGCTATGAGTCTGCTAACCCGCATTTAGGTCAGCACGTATGAAAAAAAGCCCGTCATCTATCTCTATCTAACTATTATGTCATGTGATGCTATGCTATGTCGTACTGAGCTAGGCAACCCGCTTAAATAAGCCCATAGACTGTCTGCCATAAATCTGCACCAGGCTAAATGTCAACCCGAGATATCTTCATGTATATCCGTCAGATAGAGACTAGCATTTTCTGTGTCATGCTGTATGAGTACTCGGCTTGTGCCCGTCACGAATAAATACCCGTTCTGCACCTAGTCAATCCTAATCCAAAATGCACATGTACATTTGCGCTCTGGCTTAGTTTGGCGGACCTCTCCTGCATGCTCGCGACGAATTTGGCGGATTGATGGAAGATCGTAGAAATCATCGCTTATTGCACGGAACCTTTGTTTATCCATGTGTACTCCTGCATCTTGACATCGTATGTTTGCTGTCCAAAGAAAGGGTTGTGGCAACAGCGGAAATGATAAGGGATGAGAATCTTGTCATGTGAGGTGGCCCAAGGGTTTGTTTATGCTGGATTCTCAAACCAACACCTGTAACATAGACAACTCAGACGCAAGAAGCTGCCAACAAGTCTGGGATCAGCTTTGGAATATCCTTTCAGATTATACGTTCAGAGGCCAACGCTTTTAATCCCTGGAAAAGCGAAAGATCTACAGCTTGTTCTAGTTGTCGTCACCCGCGCCAAGCTGTAGATAGGTGAGGTAAATCCAGCATCATACGTTATGGTGGATGGAAACGAAGTGGGCCACTTGATCCAACACATGCTCGCATCCTACAGTACATGACCGGCTCAACTCGCGGATACGTTATACCCAAGGTGACGGTTGCCAATTACGCAGGCTATGCCGTCAACTATCTACGGTTAATTAATAAGTGCGTGTGCAATGGAGTCGCTCGAATATACTTTTGAAAACGAGGAGCAATTCTGGGCCGGTACAAACGTCTACAGTCCTACTTGTCGAGCTCACTTTGCTGACTGACGGTCTCAATTAAGAGCTCGAAGAAATAGTTTCGACACAATCAACCTCTCATCTGATCATCGAGAACTCTTTCCGAACATACCTCCAACTCGTCACCAAATTTGCCGATGAATACTTAACTACCTCAGAAGATTGGGAAGAATGTGCATGGAAACTGCTGAATTCTAAGCTCTTTCAAGTCGAAAGCAACCATGTTCGGTACCAGATTATCCAAAGTGTTATCCAGATAGAAGATCTGACTTCCATTTATTTACTGGTCAGCATCTTACTGCTTGATGGCCTACGAAATGAAGAGACATTTGAGATGATGAAGCACGCAAAATGCTTCCGAAGGTTAATCGACTTGATTCGTCTAAAACAAACAATCAAGCCGACCCTTCTGGATTTACTCTTGAAACTTTTGTATGAGATGTCACGTTGTCAGCAGCTGTCTATTGATGATCTCAAAATAGTAGACGAGAGTTTTGTGATTAGCTTACTAGATATGATAGAAGAACTTTCTCAGGATATTGATGATCCATATCACTACCCTGTAATTAGGGTGTTGGTTCGAATTCTCCCTTCACATCAGTTGAGCTCATACCTAATTTTCCTACAGTTGGTCCTTAACGAACAATTCATGATATCATCCACCACGTCACTTAGGGCCCCTAACGCCCCATCACTCACGAATCGTGTTGTCAAACTTATCTCTTCACATGGCTCCAAATACATGACGTTCGGTGAAAACCTTATTATACTTCTCAATCGAGAAACAGAGATATCTTTGCAGCTCCTCATACTAAAGCTTTTTTACCTTCTCTTTACTACACCTGCAACATACGAATATTTCTATACCAACGATCTACGTGTTCTTGTGGACGTGATCATACGGAATTTGCTAGACCTTCCACGGGACCTCAGTACTTTGCGGCACACCTATCTGAGAGTGCTTTACCCTTTATTGGCGTACTCGCAATTAAAGTGCCCACCTCACTATAAGACTAAAGAAATAACACGGGTTATTGACACACTCGGAAACCCTGGAAATGCACATTGGGAGCCAACCGACACTACAACCTTACGCCTTGTTAACCGAATAGCAGATATCTCATGGCTACAGCGAGATAAAGATCCAATTAAATCTTCCGGGATACTTCTCACATCTAAGCAATCTGCTAGTAATACATCCATCGAAGACATGGTACCCGGGATGGAAAAGGATGGAGGTCATACGTCCAATAGATGTCTACGTTCGGAGGCATCTTCATCTTGTCTATCACAAGTCTCTGACACCCGAACAGAGTCAAGGAACACGTACAGTAATACAGATGCAAGCCATCCCTTGCCGACTAGACAACAAACACAAAATAATCTGCTACCTCTACTGCCTGACAAAATGGCTAGACCACTACCTCCGAAAACCCCGCCACGAAGGCGTACTAAACCAAGAAGCTCTATCGCTCCTGAAGTTCACTCAACCTTCAATTAATTAGCTAAGATATCATGGACAAAAATTTTCAATGGCAGTGATAAATCACCAGGAGAACAGATTTTTCACTTGCATCAAGCCAGTGCGCATTGTCTCAGGTTCCTTTAGGCTGAGAACATCCGTAGAGTGCTGTATCAAACTATAGATATTATATGTATCAGTTTGATTTGAAATAAGTATCACTGATGGTTCCGATAGCCCAATAACTTTACTCGATCATTTATCATTCTAGAGAGCGTACCAAAACTGAAATATAGCTCCATAACCATCCAAACTCCCACCCAGCTCATAATTTCAATTCTGAGGGATTGATCCGCTTATTGTCTTCTGCCATTCACCTGGAATATGCAGGTCATCACTTGCCCCTTTTGCTTTGTCAATCTGTTCTAATGTTGCCATGTCTTCAGTTGTAGATTCTTGTCCAATACAAGATGTTGTCGGAATATTACGAGGTTTGGGCCCATCTGCGTGCGCCTGTTCACAAGATAATGAAGTGTCTATGGGCAAAGGACCACCTGAACTCGATTTTTGCGATATAATACTGGGTATGTCCTCTACAGTAACCAATCTAGGTCCCTCGCGATTGCATTCAAAAACAGCCGCATGACTTTTATCTTCGGTCTGAGGAAGATTTTTAGAATCTCTAGGTCTTCCATCATCCTTGATTTCAGGTGTAACCGGTGTAGAGTTCGATTCCATTCCTATGGTATCTTGTTGCTGGAAAGATGAGTGCACGGGTGGAGCCACTTTTCCTGCAAGCTGATCATGAGAACTTGTCACTAAATCAGGCTTCCATTCAGTGGACATTGCTGCTAAATTTCCACGAATTACTTTAGTAGATGTATCCTTTGTCGCCTGTGACTTTGCCTTAGAGGCATCTTCAAATCCTTGGCTTTCACTAGATAATGAACGCGATACGGGTAAGTCTTGTTGCCCTTTTCTTGTTGCCAGTATATCAGAAGATGGGAATCGCCCACCTGGCAACGGTCTTGTTGACGATTCATCTTTCACTGGGGTATGGGCTCTAATGGAAAGACTAGCACTAGCGAATGGCTCTTCGTCCTCGTCATCTAACACACTATCGCTACTGATTACGGATCCCGTATTTTGAGAGCCACCGCTTACATTTCGAGCATGCTGCTTGACATAAGCCTGACGTTCTTGATAAGATTTTCCGGTTAAGTTTCGCAGAGCCTCATACTAAATCACATAAGCAAGGATCACAGCCGCATAGAAATAACTGCACGTACCCATGACATCATTATCTCATGACTCTCGCATCTAAAGATCCAGGAATGTCCACGATGCATCGTACCTGTTTGACGGCCTCGAAGGACAAATTTGTTTGACTTAGAATCCTCGCTAGAATGCGACCCGAGCGTTTGGTCCGGCAAATACAATGACATTATGGGGGCTTGTCTTTTATCGGCTGACTTAAATTCATGAAGATGAGTCGGCGATAGAACATACCTGGAGCCTAGATGTTAGCAGAGGATTCGCTCTTGCGTTAAATTTAGTACGAAGAAACTCACCAGCCCACTGTATTTGACTTTAAGTACTTGCTCTTTCGTTCTAGTAAACCGGCCCGCACCTCTTGCGCGAGTTCGTGATGTTTTGCTGGATATTGAACGTACTGGGACTTTCGAATTGGAACGGTAGGATCGACGAAGTTTTCATTATCACTAAGAAAGTGATTCCATTCAAGATCCCTTGGCATTGTTAGTGGCCCATTTAAAAATTCGTTAACAGTCGCATAGGATGCATCCGCCTCACGTTTCAGAATTCCAGCATAGGCACTATATGATTTCTGAATTTCACCGACAACAATGGCTTCGAGCGCTTTGCCTGATGATTCCAGGTTAAGGTAGGCCTGGTGAAGATAGTTTTCCTCGGATATTTGCTTCTCAATTTGATGATCCACAGCCAATCTAAGTAAATATGGGTCCCTTTTTCCAATACTTTGGGATGGATCGATTTCCAATGAACTTAGACTTTCTTGTAGTTCATGGACTGATTTACGGGTTGCCTCCATTTCTCTTTCGACTGAATTTTTGAAATCTCCCGACAAGTTCTTGATCTCTTTGATCTTGTGTTGTAGATCACTTCTTAGACCGACTAGGGCAGAAATTACGTCATTTTCGATCTCTTTAGACTTAACGGCCTCACTGAGGCAAACTTTGTAATGCGTGTGAGCTATCTGTGCGGCATCATGGATGCCACCAGACTGCAGAAAAGACGGCGGGGGGATGTTAGCGTTAATAATATTCGAAACTTTCACTAGGCTTTTTGCTCGTAGGTCATAGCTGGCTTGTATTTCTTTATAGTGTGAAATGATATCTTTTAACACACTTCGCCAGGCTAAGAAAAAGTTACTAGCTGTATGTAGAATAAGTAATAGTAATCCTACCAACCTTGGAATCTATTGGCTAGAGCTTCTGTGGGATTTCCGCTGGTAGGAACGGGCGAATAAAATGCACAGTACGCTTGTTCTAATTCTTCTTCAACCTGGGGGGCCACGCTGCGGACACTCCCGGCCCTCGAGCTCCTGCAACTAGGGCTTCTTTTTACCGAATGACTTCTTCGTATCGTGGCGGACTTTTTCAGGGTGGCTCGCGGCACTATTGGGCTCCCAGCAGACTCTGGCAAAGCGGAACACGACTTTTGCGGCAGATTTTCGCCGAAAGAACTAGCACGTTGGCTGATATCTAACTCTTCGTGAAATCGACCGACTGACTTGGTATTGGAGGGAGACTTGACGCCGTGATGTTGACTAGGTAAGGTCACTTCGACGTCAGGCGCAGCGTTAGCTATTTTAGGCGGCATCTTGCCTTGAACATTGGTATGATCGGGTTGGTGAGAAGGGGTAGCAGAATGCGTAGCACTTTGATGGAATGAAGGCATCGTGCAGGTAGTTTGGAAGGAGAGAAACACCAGCGAGGGAAATAGAGGGAAGGAAGAGGGGGAAGGGCCGATTTTGGATCTAGTGTGAAGTGCGTCATCCACGAGATCCAGTGACACGAGGGGCATATATTGTGGAGAAATAGTGGTAGGTTGATGGTTAATTGAGCCTTCTCGTTCTTAGAATCTCTCTACGTACACCTGCATGGAATCAAGTGCGTTTATGCAGCTGTAGATGCAGCTGCAACTACATTCCTGAGCTCCACTTCTCGCCATCTCTGCTTCTTCGGATTTCTCGAGGTAGGGAATAATCCCGAAGAATACTGACAGGCCACATCGTGGCGCTGAAAATGGACAACGTGCTGACGGTCAGCAAACAGGCTTTGTAAGCTTTGGACGCTTACGGTTCGTGGAAAGGGTCTAGGAGGACTTTCTCAAGCATGACTCGGTCCGCTGGAAAGACGCTTAATGCGCCGACCAAGTATGCGGAGCTTGTCTGTCATGATAGTCTATCTGCCTGTGGCTGGTTTTGCTGAGGTTTTGGGTTCAGCTGGGGCTCGCCAACCAATCGTCTAGCAACTAAGGTGGCTGGAATTGCGAGGGGTCGTCTCATCCAATCCTTCCCGTGACCCGCGTGATTGATTGACGGCTCAGATTGCATTCTCCCACGCCCTCCTGCTTCGATATTTGTGGCCTTGAGTACATATGAGTTGAAGTGATGACCTCAGGTAAGGCTACGAAGAGGAAGGTAATGTATAGCAGCTCTTGACATGCAACATTATGGGGAAAGACCGTCTAAGGTCGGCGTTGTCTCGTTTGGGCCTAGGCTTCAACCTCGACATCATGACGCTGTCGGTCATGTATATAATAGATGCTACTTTGAGCCATCATCTTTCGCCAACATAAATAGTAGCTAGTTAAATTACATGCAGCAATACATTAAATAAGAATCATAACAGAGCCCCCGGTTCCAAAACTGTGAGCTCCAAATTAATATCAGCACTTGTGGTTGGGAAACATGATTCCTTGCCTCGTTTCCTTTCCGATCGTGTCATGTTCAATGATTATTTAATTAAACCTTGCTGAGAGCAGAGATCGAACCTGCAGGTGAGCACCCATATCATCGGGTTTTCTGTGCAAAGTTTCTATAGCACTTGGATCCGAGAAGTTGGGGTAAAAAGTCGTCGTGGGTTATCCGATATTGTGTTATAGCTAGAGAGCTGTGTAAGCAATTAATTTTGGAGGGCAAGACTAGACACCTGTAAACGGTGTCCTCTACGAACCTGGGAGTGAAATATTTTCCCAGAGCCAAGTTTGGTCGGATTCCGTAATACCGAACAAGTTGGCCCACGAGGCAATGATTCAAAATACTCCACCATCTCAATCTTTCACTCCCAACGAAATCTATTCCTACCTAAGCCTCGTCAAGTCTACAAGTACGACCCAGTACATCCTCATTCCAATGACCACACCTCTTGTCGACTTTCTCTGGCCTCAGCTGGTCGCCAGATACACGCCCACGCCGATATTTATACCCGACGGAGGAAGCAAAGTGTGGCGCACAAATCTGGGAGACTGTTCTTTGAGATGGACGTGGGAGGAATTAGGACAAATTCATAAGATGATGCGAATGATGGTTACAGTCTCGACGGGCGTCAAATTTCAAATTTTGGAAAGTAGTTTTTACAAATTGAGCTTTGTGCGCGTCAAGGCTTCGGTTGCGAGAGTGCAGGCGACACTATGAACACCGCCGTGATTGGATGGTGCGATGGTACACCATCTAGGTCGGTCTCCAAAGTACTGTCTGGATAGCTATAACACAAATCCCACTACAGGCTGTAGATTGCTGGTTCGAATCCGGCAAAACACAACTACTTTTCTCGTGGCGCTAGTATATATGGTTGACGAAGACATTCTTGGACAATTAAAGGTTTTAAAACGTCTCTTTGGTGGGTACTTGGGGAGGAGAAGGGTTGACTGTTTGTGTAAGCGAGTATACCTCGTAGTGGTATTTGCGAATGAAATCCATAGTATGAGTGTCTCTAACGTTAAAAGAGTCGTCCCAAATGTATACATAGCACCGGTCATGTGTCATAGCTAGATAGCTGAATACATATTAAATGATTTAAAAAAAACGAACTTAATTTCTAATGCAATTTTTAGCTGCTATTATTGGAAAAATGCATCTCGGATTGGATGGTGCAGTGGTACACCATCCAGCCCATCCATCCAAGTAAATTCTGGATAGCTTGGACACGGCACCCTGTTAAGGTAGAAGAACCCACACACCGTTCCCTCTCGCGGTCACATCGTGCGTGTAGGATGACTAATGCGCACGCAGTAAGCCGTAGGATTTTTACGCTTCTCCTTGTCTTGGCTGTGCACGGATAAGTTTGGATGCCGTGGGGGTTGACTTCGGGCGGTATCTGTTAACGAATTCTTAGTGCGGTGTTCAAGGCGTTACATTAAGTCATTCGCCTTGAACAACAAATCTTCCGGTAAAAACTGGCATGGTCCTCAAATCGCCATGCCAGAATAATTGATTTATTTATTTATTGGTGCCGTGTAAGATCGGCAGGCGTCTAGGCGCGTAGTGTTCACAAACTCTACCGTCTCAAACTTTTTTGCATCAGATTTTAATTGCGTATGCAGCTATCTAGCTATGACACAATATCAAAGAAAAGTACATGATAGATAACACAATTTAAAAGTCGACCACTCATGCCTCGGATTTCATTTGCAAGTACCACTGCGAAGCTATGGTGGCTTGTTCTTCACCCCAAGTCAACCTCATCCGTTAATTCCCACCCAGGGGAACGTCCCAAAAGCCTTGAGTTATCCAGACATGCCTCCGTCATCTTTCAACTTTTCTCCGCGCAAAATATGGTCTTGGGTGTTTCCTTCCTAGGTGGAGTAGCTGCCCAGGCTACTCAAACCATACCAGAGAACACCGCCAGCAAGCGGACCACAACACCTTCCATCGTCGGCTTTTTATTATTAATTCATTTTATCGTCCTGTCTGAGTCTATGACTATGTAGAACATGCAGGTCCTCTCTGTCTACAGGCCAAGGATACCTATACCAGTAGTATATCCCCTCCTATGCCTCCCATACAGCTCCCCTCAAACAGTACCACCCCTCACAAGTCCTCATTCGATCATACACTTAGAGGAACCCTTTGCCCTTCATCATCTCCCCTCTCCAGCCAACGAAACGATGGCCATTTGCGGGTGTATGGCAGCCGGGAAAAATCGCAAAAAACCACTGGATGCGGAGCTCTCCTAATACCGACATTAGGACTAAATCTGAGGACATAGTGCCCCTTCTGAAGCGTTCGAAGAGGCCGGCCAGCTGGGCGCTGCAGACTTGAGGGCACCTCGGGAAATTCACACTCTACCTTTCTAGCCTCCTTACAACTCCTTCCCGAAGGTCGTGGTGAAATGTCAGAAAAGTCTTGACAGAGCGTGATTGCTGTATGGTAGCTTAGCCTAGCTTCTTTCGTGCCGTCCAGGGTGCTGGGGAGTGCCGATCGTCGGCTTGTGTTTATAGTGTCAGCTGCACTCTCGCAAGCGATGTCTTGGGGCGCACAAAAATCAATTCATGAAACTCCTTGCCAAAACTCAAAATCTCACGCCTGTCGAAGTTATATTCTTCCTTTGCATCATTTTGTGAACTTGTCCTAATCCCTCTCACGCCTATCCCAAAGAACTATCCTCCAGAGTTGTGCGCCACGCTTTGTTTCCTCCGTCGGGTATAAATATCGGCGTGTATGTGTATTTTGCGACCAGCTGAGGCCAGAGAATAGTCGATGAGAAGTGTGGTCATTGAAACGAGGTTCTACTAGGTCGTACTTGTAAACTTGATGAGGTGTGTGTGTTTGTGTTTATTGTGCTACTTGAGTCTATGACTATCTAGCACATTGGGCTCCTCTCTGACCCAGGCCACAACTTGTGCAGTGCTCCTATCCTCTTTTGTTACTTGAAAGATCATTGATATATTCCCCTTGATGAATAGCCATTCAGCTCAGTATTTACCCGTGGAATTCAGCCACCTTTTCCACGGAACCTTCTACTTAAAAAAAAAAAGGTAGCAATGGAAACTGCGTGCGCGGGAGAAAGTCTCCAAAAACCTGCAGTCCCAGCCAGGCCAGGCCTAGATACCTGGACCACATGATTTGCGCATAATCGTCTATATCTCCCTTCTTTGTAACAGTCGAGGCCGACTTGATCCAATCCACCATCTCCGTATCGGGTGCTGGGTACGCTCCGGAAACTCATCGGATGGCTTTTCCTCCGTGATCAAGGTTTGGTGATGAGTAGAGCTCCGACCCTACCATCTGATCTGATCGTGGTTAGCTTCATGATAATGGTGATAGGGGAATGTGTTGAGAAATGAAGACGATACAGACCGCGAAAGCGATTGGGAATCCTCTTCGAAGTGAGGACTTTGTTACTCAATCTCGGCTCTGCAGACACTACAGTGAGAGCTGGAGGTTCGTAGGGGACACCGCTGACAGGTGTTGAGAATAGTCCCCCCTTGATGAGGTGTTGATGTGGGTCGATCTCGTTGGGTGGGAGAGTTTGATTTCGTAGAGAGACTTGGACCAGTGCCTCGTGGGCCAACTTCTTCGGAATTGCGAAATTTGTCTCTAATTGGCTCTGAGAAAATATTTCACTTCCATATCCGTAGAGGATACGGCGTACAGGTGTTCAATCTTTGCCCTACAGCCAAAGGAGCTGCAGCTCCGTGGTTGAACCATGCCTACATGGCTTTGACTTGCCAGCCTCGTCAATTCACAACATGTGGGCGCAGATGAGGCTAGACAGGTTTTTAGAGGCTGGGAAGGAAGCCAAGCAGAGTCAGAGAAATGTAGCATCCTCATATAGAGGGCAATATAGACTTTTGACCCACAGCTCCGGTGGAGTCTCTTGAGTTGTAATTCCAAAGAGCATGCCAGCAATCATTCCCCAAGATGTTTGAATTACCGTTGATAGAATGGGGACGAAAGAGGCCCTTGGATTCCTGAGAACCTGCACCATTTCGTGTCCTACAGCCTATTGATGTTGGTAGGGCTTTGTTGCCGCCACGCACCTTGCCAATCGTTGACGTGCATGGGTGGTATGATCTAGGAATAGCATAGAATCGTGTATGCATACCTGCACAAACGTCATGCTAAGGTGCTTAATAGGGATGTTAGTGTAGACTGCTGCACAAGCAGTAATAGTCGCGCTATGATTGGTGGGACGTGTATGTTATGAACCTGCAAGGGTCATGGGAGAGTAATCTAGGTGTGGTCTGCAGTATATGGAGTTAAGAGCACACAGCCATCTTTTGTTTGTACATCTCTCTATCTTCTAGCACATAATGAAGTGCGAAGCATCTTTACTGGTAACTATGATCAATTATCTACAGGCGCAGTATTTATAGACCATACTCCATTTACACACGAGTAGCAGAGTCAGCGTTAATCCCCGAGGTGACCTCATTTTATAAGTATGGGTGCCTGCTTTCTAAACCGTCATGCCAGTTGCCATGTCTATCAACCACAATCTATTCTAAAATTAGAGCCTACACTTGGTGACGCACAAATGTCTCTCTGCTGCCATGGCTCTGCCTCCTACAGGGAAACTTTTCTCAATACCTGTAGGTGGTGCCCAACACGAAGCTACATAAAGGCAAATGACGCCTTTGTTGTCGTCATGGCTTAATGGTGCGGCGGTTCACAATCATGATCAGCTACCCGGACACGGAATGAGAGACCAGTGATCACGCCTCATGGTGGACTGAAACTTGCTATTATGATTATTGTAAGGCACTCAACGCATCTTGGCCGTACGCGTACAGGATTATCTAGACAATTTTGGACAAATTAAAGGTTTTGAAACGTCCCTTTGTTGGGTTCTTGGGGAGGAGGGTTGAATGTGAGGTCCGATGAGGTTACATACATATCACGTGACATGATTGGGCACACACCACATATCTCTTGTAATGTAAAACTGAAGAGAACCATACACCCTCTAGTAATCTGAATACCTTCATCAGTACAGTCGCGGATGTTACCACGTCCCTCTTGTGCTAGAAGACATCAGACTAGGAGCCACAATTGTTTGTGTAAGCGAATATACTTTGTAGTGGTATTTGCGAATGATATCCATAGTATGAGTGTCTCTAACGTTAAAAGAGTCATCCCAAATGTATACATAGCACCGGGCATGTTTCATAGCTCTATAGCTGAATACAATCAAATGATTTAAAAAAAAGAACCCAAAATCTTTTCAGACGAGTGAGTGATGTGATTATTTTACTACTTGAGCCTATGACTATCTAGGACATTGAGCTCCTTTCTGGCTCAGGCCACACCTTTACAATGCACTTTGCCTCTTGCGTTGCTTTAAAGATCGTTGATATATTGCCTGTGATAGGTAGCCATTCAGCTCAGTATTTACCCATGGGATTCAGCCACTCTTCCACGGGACCTTTGTTATGATGTGAAATCACTCAGCCAATTAGACAAGCTGTATCAGATGATATAGAGATCAATACAAGATGTGGTTGGTGTAGTGACATCATAAGTATTGCATGTAGATGGTTTCAACGAGAATGTAAACTATTCTATAGCATATGATAGTATATCTTGCATCACGAGATGGAATATTCTACTAACAATTAGATAGATGAGCTTTAGGTATAAATAGGAGTATTCTCCTTCATATTGATAGCAATCATCAGGAAGCGAATCTAATAAAGCGTACATATATCATCGTCCACTTCATAATAGTGTCAAGCACATAATATTGATAAAGCAACTACTTGTATTCAATTCCCCTCCTCATAATCACAACAACCTTCTAAAGAAGCCCAAAAAAGAAGGCTGCGATAGAAACTGCGTGCGTGGGAAAAAGTTTAAAAAAACCAGCAGCCCCAGCCAGGCGACGTCTAGACACCGGGGCCACATGAGGTGCGCATATTCATCTATATCTCCCTTCTTTGTAACATTTGAGGCCAACTTGATCCAATCCACCATCTCCATATCGGGTGCTTGGTACACTGCGGAAACTTATCGGATGGCTTTTCCTCCGTGATCAAAGTTTGGTGATGAGTAGGGCTCCGACCCTACCATCTGATATGATCGTGGTTAGCTTCATGATAATGGTGATAGGAGATGTGGTAAGGAATGAAGATGATAAAATAAGAGTTGGAAGGTCGTATTTTTTGAAATAATTTAATATGTATTCAGCTATCTAGCTATGACACATGACCGGTGCTATGTATACATTTGGGACGACTCTTTTAACGTTAGAGACACTCATACTATGGATTTCATTCGCAAATACCACTACGAGGTATAGTCGCTTACACAAACAGTCAACCCTTCTCCTCCCCAAGTACCCACCAAAGAGACGTTTTAAAACCTTTAATTGTCCAAGAATGTCTTCGTCAACCATATATACTAGCGCCACGAGAAAAGTAGTTGTGTTTTGCCGGATTCGAACCAGCAATCTACAGCCTGTAGTGGGATTTGTGTTATAGCTATCCAGACAGTACTTTGGAGACCGACCTAGATGATGTACCATCGCACCATCCAATCACGGCGGTGTTCATAGTGTCGCCTGCACTCGAGTTTGGATTCTTTCTGCCATGTAAAAGATTTGAGATTCTAATTCAAGTTTACTCACTCACTCTGCCACCTCCAGGCTAAATAAATGAGAGTTTTTTCGTGACGGGCAAAGGACCTGCACTCAAAGGGCTTGACTCGGAGAAGGTTAGCTTCTCCGACGACCAATTACGACGATAACTCAATTTGACATTTGGACTACTCATGTAGTGGGTGCATTCACTGATACCACTCAAGACCTTGTTGCTAGGGACTTTCAGCCTTTCCTCAACCGTTAAAATCCACCAAAGGGAAAACAGGAAAACAGGAAAACCCTTTGGCTACCCTAACATGCTTTTGTCATCTTGTATGTAGTCAACACGCGAGTTATGGCCTCACAGTCTTCCCATTCTCGAGAGAGGCAAGTGTCCAGGCTATCTAGACTTTAATTTGGGAATATGACGAGCAGGAGGCGGTCCACAACACCTTCCATTGTTGCCTGTTTTTAGAGTTTCAGTGGCACTATCCAAAATCATTGCTTCTGCGCCTACAGATACCCTTAAGTCGAAAACAATCGAAAAATGTACGTCTCAGTATGCCTATTTGTGAACTCTTCACTCGGTCGTCCCATGTCCCAGCTTCCTGTCCTCCATCAAGCTGTGGAGCCCAATTAGAGCGACGGTCCCCCATAGACCAAGACCCGAGCTCTATAGATTATGACTTGAATTCCTCCTCGCGGGTATACATAGCATCGTAATTTTGTAGTGGGAGATGGCCGGTTTTTGATTAGGCAAATGCCCGATTGCAATTGGAGTAATGCCATTATCGGTATATGAGACGTGGTGGTGTGGTAAGATTGATGTGGAGGACTCGCGTGAGAATGATAGGTCCGACATTGACGAGAAGTCGTCGAATTTAGATATGCTTGAGGTTGCTTTCCACTTCGATTCGAATGCGATTCTTCTTGGGCATCCCAGATATACAGGGCATACTGAGTGATTACATCGGCATCACTCGAAGGTGTAGAATTCGTCTTTGCCGGCGGTGTGGGTTGTTGATTTGATTATTTTAAATTATCGTGCCTGTCCATAGCTCGTAACTGCCATCACATGCTGGACGGCCCAGTCCCGGCAGAACTACCCGACGCTCTAGCACGTCCTATAGAACCTAGAAGCTACAAAAGCCCGACTAGCTGTCCGCCACTCTGCTTTTCATATTAAATGTAGCAATTTTCTTTTTACCAGAAACTTCACTTTTATTTTACAAGCAGTTTGAAATTACGCCCATTGACTGCCAAAAAAGAGGCTATGTACAAAAGAAACTAATAATAAATCCACCATATAAAATTAATCCCACACCATATCGAAAAATTTCACCGGGAAATGTCTAGTTGGCTCGTTGGATTTTGTCGTAGAACTTCGTCAATTTCACTCGTTTTCCAAAGGCTAGGGCGCCATTAGGCGTGCCAAGTACCCATTTGATGCCAGGGGGGATCTCGAGGTCTACCGCGAAGACGGACACGATTTCTTCCTATTTTGCAGTAGAAGAAGCGATACAGGCTTTTTTTCGCCACAGGAGTAAGTCATTAGAGCATCTTCATGTGCGAAACGTCGATGATATAGGGTCAACTCTCCGTGTTCGGAACAAGCTGCAGTAAGTGCTCCAAATGTGTGACGATTTAAGACTTTAAATTCTGGGGTTATTCCTGTGCTAAGACTGATTCCGAGTTCTTTATATCTGGACGGGGCCTTTTTTTCCCAAAAAGCGTTGGTGGAGGCCTCGTAGAGCTGAGAGATCTTCCTTTTTGCCCTTGCTATAGAAAGAGGGAGAGATGATGTGGGAGTTATGCATGCTAACTTAGCTTGAGAATCTGCTGCTTTGTTTCCAGGCATTTCAAAATGTTCGGGGCACTATCAGACACTTACTATTCCCACCCTAGAGTAGGATGTACGTTTCCTATCAGATTAGCTGGCTTCAAGTTTCCAGAATTTCATGGTTTGACGAGAGCTTGTTGCGGTGGGTGGTAACAGGGGCAGCCGTAGAGCCGCCTCTTGGTTATCTAGGCAGACAGTTACATTAGTTACTTAAATGCCATGGGATTGTGGATCGCAGCTGCTAGCCCCTCAGTCGCTCTAGCAATTTCCGCATCACAAATTTATACTGAGATGCATAGAGGTATGGTTCAAAAGCTATCTCGTGGGACGCACCACATCGTATCTAATATCCTGCACCTGCTCGCTCTTCGATTAACGTACTATCGGATAAAGCAGAGAGGTCCAATATTGATTGCAGATAAAACCAACCGGAAAACGCATCGACTCCAGCATCGCAACTAACTGCACAGATCTTTTCCAGAGATATCTCCTGATTAACTTTCCAGGGTGGGGGAATAGTATCCTCTAAGAGTTCTGGAGAAATTCTTTGTCGGATCCACAGCATTCTTGCGGAATTCCATCTTCTACGGAGGGGGCGCCAAGGACCTGCCGAGGCTACGCGGACGACTAGGCGATCGTGAATACGTTCAAGCCAGGATCGTGCAGGACCCCAAACTGTCTCCCGAAGAATTACAGTAACAGGTGTCGTTCATTTTTGTTGTGTCCGAAGAACTAGTCCTTTTGGGGCTCCTTTGGAATACCAAGACTCGGCTTCACAGAGCAAGGCCGCAAAGGCTACTTTTTGAAGTGCTTGTCTAAAGAGAAGAGGTCTTATTCCTCGAGAAATTCTTGAGGATCTTTGTGTGACTCGTGATAGCCAAGGATCTACCGCATGATTGTCTTAAATGTTCTCTGAATCGAAAGCCTCGGTCAATGATGGCCCGAAGCCAGCGCTTGTAGTCGTTTGGAGTGAACTCTACTTCATTAACTTGTACGCTGGGCTCTACTGAGGATCCATGCTTTCGGTGGAAACATTGCAGCTCGGTTTTCGACACTTCAAAAATGATACTGATCTCATGCCCCCAGAAGGGGGTTGAGTCTTATTGCTTTTGAAGTAGTTCTGAGCATCGAAAAAATGATAGCACCGACGCTATAAATACAACATCATCTTTGTAACCAAAGTATTTTGGGTAGATTTTGAGGAGGCCTTTCATTGCCCATGAGAATAGAATTGAAGAGGCGGGAGATCCTTGTGGAAGCCCACAGTGGATTTCGAATGTTGGAGATATAGTTCCATTAAGTATAATTGAGGCTTCTCGCTCAGACATGAAAGAAGACACCCACTGCACCACGTTACGGGTCCATCCTTGATCCCACAAGCTGTGGCAGAGGTGGCTTTTTTGGAGACCATCAAATACTCCTTTAACATCTACTGTGACCATGCCAGCCTCCTCTTTTTTGGACCAGGCATCCTGAATACCGCATGACAGTGCTATGGTGAGGTCTGTGGTAGATCTTCGAGGACCTGCGCTACATTGATCCTGAGATAGAATCTGCGGTTTCAGCGCTATAAATTAGTGGCGGAGAGTCATGAGTTTCTTGAGTCCCTTACCAAGGCATAACAGAAGTGCAATTGGTCGTCATGTTGGAAATTCAGACTCTATGTGTCTGAAGATTCCCTATGATTGGAACAATTAAGATTCTCACACATGACTCACGAACAAGATGATTTATATCTCCTTAATTGAGCATATTTGATGCGTGAGACTCGACTAGTGCATGGTATGATCTGATACCCGTGAGATAGACTTTAATCCACCGACCCTGACCCCAGACTCATGTTGTATGTTGTCGTGCGATTAATTGTCATTGTTAGAGTATGGAAAGAGTGGTGGATGGTATCTAATTTAGATTTGGTCTATTAAGAATACATGCATGTAAGCCGCCTAGGAATTACAAAGACAGGTAGTTAATTAATTCAATTCATTCAATTCATTCAGTTCATTCTATCAAGCTCTTCTGTTTCCAGTTAATCACATTTTGTCCCGATTCATATCGATTTTATTCTATTCTGAATTCGCGCCCATATTCTTCGAGCCGCCTTACTCATCAAAACCATACTAATTTTCCAATACGGTATAACTTTGTGAGAGCCCGACTGCGATTTCTAGATTTTGGAATTATAACAGTATTAGCCTTCTTGAAAACACTCGGGTGGAGTCCTTGCTGATCATACTAGCGGAATAGAGCTATTATAAAAGCCCCAATTAGTGGCCAGGCGAGTCTAAGTACCGTCGTGGTGGTACTGTCCGGTCCAGGTGTGGAAATTGACATGACATATCGTGAGTTATAGACCTCTTCATCTAATATTGGAGACCAGGAAGTCGATCTTTTTGCTACTAAAGGGGCTATATCGTCGATATCTACTTGATTTAGGAATCGGCTGATAAGGGTTTCTTTAAAGAGCTGCGCCTTGTCTTCTGGACGGAATACTAGGCCAATAGGGCTCTCTAAGGTGGAGGTGCGGTCATGAGCTTCTTATGCTAGCGTACTACCTGATAGATCTCTTTGAGACTGGAGACTTGTTATATCTTGTTGTATCGATATGCCCGGTTAGATTTTCTCACAACATTACCGAAGGCTTGACGTTCGGAAACTAGGGAAGACCTATGCGGCGAGTACGGCAGAAATTTAATTGAGCTTTGGTACACTCCTTATTCCGCCAGTCAACTTTCGCTATCTATTTACGAGGCCTAGGGTAGGCAGCTCGAAGGGTCCCTGAGATAGCGGTTACAATTCCTGACGCCTCTCCTTTAACTGTTTGAGAGGAGGTTGTCAAGGGATGGATAAGAGGAAGATTGACGAAGTCAATCCAGTGAATAAGATTGTCTGCACAGAAGAAAGGGATCTAGGAAAGGACCACGAATATTAAATACAATCGCGTAAGCGCGTAAACTCTTTCGCGTGACCGCAATATTAATCGCGTTTCCCATCACACAAGGTCCTCCTTTACCCGGAGTCAAGGCTTACCTGGGGCACCCGGATACGCTCCAAGTTCTGTACACTTAAACGCCTGTCTTCTTGCATTATCAATCTCACGTTTTGTGGGCTTTAACTCCTTGGGGAAGCGTCGTTCGAACTCATGAATAGAAGCTCTAGCATTCCCGACGTTTTTCAAGGACTCCCATGTCTGATAATCAGCGTCACAGCCTCTCCAAAGCACTAAATACTGAAAACTTCTTTTATTCTTGCTTCTTTTGGAATCAAGTATAGCCTCTATTGCATATAGTTTCTCGCCGGATTCGTCTAGTGCGACTGGCAGTAGTGGCGGGTTTTGTTGACCTGGCAAAGGA